GTGCATGACAATGCACGCCTACACTGCCGACTCAGTGATCGGAACCAGCGGCACGGTCAACTGGCAGCATAAGAAGCAGCAGTGGGCTCACCTGCTCAACGTTCCCTTCCCAGCACTGGAGAAGCGCCGTCAAATTGACGTTCTGGTCGGCCTGGACTGCGCCGAGCTGCATAGGTCGCTGCAGGAGATCCAGGGTGGCCCCGGCGAGCCGATAGCCCGACTTACACCTCTCGGCTGGACCTGTGTCGGACGTGTCAATCGCAGCAAAGCAACGAATCCCGTCACCCTGATGGCTGAGGCAGTGCCACAGGACGTCGGGGACAGTCTCGCACAGCTGTGGCAGCTAGAACAATACAACCGGGCTGAGCCACAGCAAGCCATCCTGTCGGCGCAGGAGAAGGAGGTAGTGCACGCTACGAAACAGTCGCTGCAGCTCGTAGACGGACGCTACGAGGTTGGCATTCCATGGTGCGATGGACCACCTACGCTTCCTGACAACTTTCCCCAGGCCATGAAGCGTTTACGTAGTACGGAGATGCGACTGGCGCGCGATTCGGATGCAGCAGCAGCCTACAGCAGCATCATCAAGAGTTATGTCGACAAAGGCTACGTCCGTGAGGTTGCCAAGGACGAGTTGAAGCCTGGTCAGCAGTGGTTCCTGCCCCACTTTGCCATACTTCGACCAGACAAAGCGACAACAAAGACCCGGATCGTATTTGACGCATCGGCGAAGTATGAGGGCACATCTCTCAACGACACGATGCTTCCAGGGCCGAAGCTACAGCGGCAACTTCCTAGCGTTCTGACCCGTTTTCGCCAGAAGCCAGTAGCCATCGTTTGTGACATCGCAGAAATGTATCTGCGCATCGGACTGCGTCCTGAGGACCGGCAGTATCACCGATTTCTATGGCGTGACCTGGATGACACGGCAGCTCCGCGAGTATATGAATTTCAACGACTGGTTTTCGGAGCTAACGCGTCGCCATTCTTGGCGCAGTTTGTATCCCATGAGCACGCTAGAGCCCATCAGCAGCAGTATCCGTTGGCAGCCGAAACTATGCTTGCTTCAACGTATATGGACGACTCCATGGATTCTGCTATGGATGACGTCGAAGGCGTAATGCTGTACGAGCAGTTGTCGGAATGCTGGCAGGGAGCTGACATGCACGCCCGAAAATGGCTCTCGAACTCCAAAGTAGTCATGGAGAAAGTGCCCAAGGAGGATCGAGCAAGCCAGATCGACCTCGACTCCCCGCAGCTGCCAAGCGTCAAGACACTTGGACTGCTGTGGTCGGCCACGACCGACACCTTTGCGTTCAAGCCAACAGCACCAGGCCAGCAGCGCATCACCAAGCGCTCATTCTGGAGTGCGACAGCTAGTGTCTTCGACCCGCTGGGGTTCGTCTCCCCGTTCATCATGAAGTCACGCATGTTGGTGCAGGACATGTGGCTACAAGGTATGGACTGGGATGACCCGCTCCCTGATGAGCTCAATCAACGCGTAACCGGATGGTATACTGATCTAGCAGCGCTCTCCCGTCTCAGCATCCAGCGCTGTCTGCAAGAAGTGAATGCAGGCAACCCCGTCAGTAAGCAGATCCACGTGTTCGCTGACGCGTCTGAAGGTGCCTACGGCGCGGTGAGCTATCTGCGCTGCACGTATGAAGACGGCCATTAGTCGACCGCTATCATCGCAAGTAGATCCCGTGTCGCTCCCACCGTAACTGTTTCAATTCCCAGGCTAGAGTTGTCAGCTGCTGTAATTGGCATGGAACTAGCAGTTTGGGCATCCGACATCCTCAGTCTACCGGTCCACGACACTGTCATCTGGACAGACAGCCTCAACGTTCTGTACTGGGTTCGGAACCGTGCGCGGAACTTCAAGCCATTCGTTGCAACGCGCGTAGGTGAGATTCAGCAACACACTATTCCCAGTCAATGGCGCCATGTGCCGACGAAGGAGAATCCAGCAGATGTTTTGTCCCGTGGTTCGTCAGCTGGTGCTCTCATCGATGATGCGCTCTGGTGGTTGGGTCCCGACTTCCTCCGCAAAGGCGAGGATGAGTGGCCGACAATGCGTCTCAGTGAGCCAAGATCTACTACTCACCTGGAGCAGAAGAACAACGCAAAGTCTGTCCAAGCACCGGTTGCCTTGGTAGCAGTTACAACTCCTGACGCCGAGCTACCCTGGTTACTCGACCCGACACGATTCTCGAGTCTCAATCGTCTTCTCCGACAGCGCGCTTGGGTGACGCGCTTCGTGCAGAATTGCCGCGTGCCAACTGAGCTGCGACACACCGGTCCGCTATCCGTAGACGAGCTCGAGAGCAGCAAAACCAGTATCATTGCTGGTGCGCAGGAAGAGGCGCTGGCAGAGGAATATCGTCTTGTGAAAGAAGGCAAGCCCATCCCCACCTCGAGCAAACTCGTTAAGCTGCGACCTATGTTGAATGATGATCAACTGCTATGCGTTGACAGTCGACTGCGAAACGCGCAGATACTCGAGCAGCCAGCCAGATGCCCTGTCATCCTGCCACGCGGGCACTGGGTCACTCAGCTAATTGTGAAGGAAGCCCATGAGCAGAGCCATCATGCTGGCGGAGTAAGTCACACGTTGGCTCTCTTGTCGCAGACGTATTGGCTGCTTGCTGGACGAGAGGAGATCAAAGCGTGGAAAAAGAAGTGTGCCCATTGCCAACGACAATCAGCGAAGCCAGGAATGCAGATCATGGCACCGCTACCGACCGTCCGTGTGTCTCTGCCCATGAGAGCGTTCTCCAGAGTAGCAGTGGACTACGCTGGACCCTTCACCACCAAACAAGGTCGCGGAAAGCCGCGCGCGAAGAGGTACCTGTGCTTATTTACGTGTATGCAGTCTCGCGCGGTGCACTTGGAGATGGCCGTTAGTCTGGACGTGGATGGATTCATGAACGCCTTCATGCGGATGACGAGCAGGCGCGGTGTTCCACTACAGGTTGTGTCTGACAATGGGACCAACTTCGTAGGCGCTGCCAATGAACTGCGGAGGTTAGTGGCCGCGATGAATGAAGGCGTGGACCGACGATTAGCGGACAAGGGAATTCGGTGGTCCTTCAATCCCCCCGCTGCTCCTCACTTCGGTGGCGTCCATGAGGCGCTCGTCAAGTCAGCAAAGCGCGCCATCTATGCGATCCTGTCGGGCGCGGAAGTAAATGACGAGGAACTCATGACCGCAGTGACTGGTGCAGAGGCACTACTGAATTCAAGGCCACTGACGTACCAGTCGGCCGACGCGAGAGATCTGCTGCCACTGACGCCCAACCATTTCCTGTATGGACACCAAGGCGAGCCATTTGTTCCCAGAGGAACGGACACCGTGGAGCAAGGCCATCGACAGCGCTGGCGGGTCATCCAGAGTCTGGTGTTGCAGGTGTGGAAGCGCTGGATGACCGAAATGCTCCCCCTGCTTCACCCGCGAGCAAAATGGCGCCAGCCGCAGCCCGATCTCGGTATCGATGATGTTGTGCTGATCGTCGACGCTGCTGCACCACGAGGCCAATGGAGGCTCGGCCGGGTAGAGCAGCTGTTCCCCGGAGTCGATGGGCGGGTCAGAGTGGTGCGAGTGAAGGTCGGTGACACTTCACTTGTCCGCCCCATCGTACAGCTGTGCAAGATTGCCGCGGATTGACTCTGTGTGTGAGCAGCACATTTTTGCTCTTATCTCTCCTCATCTCTCTCCACTGCTTTCTGTTCGGTCTATTTCTTTATCGTTTAATTTATTCTGTACTTGATTAAAGCTGGTTTAATCAATGTAGGGGAGGATGTTCAGAAGGTCTTCCGATGAGACACACTGATTGTGACGTCGTGACGCATTCCATATATCGCATGTTACATACTAATAAGTTTACTACTCGCTGTGCCTTGCACGCCGCCACACACTTGGACTATGCATGCCTTTTCCGTGTGATGCGTCGTATGCACCACGTGGCTGCTGTTATTTGAATTTATTTGAATCTCTCGTGCTTATCTTTCTGGATACAACCTATTTGTTTTCCGTTCTGTTCTGGCGGTTTTTAGTCTTGCCAAGACGTAGTCAGCCAGTCAGTTTTGCTTGTCAGAAAAGTAATGAAAGTTGATGAACACCTCTGAAACTCACTGTCCCAGTCGGCCTCATTTCCAACGTAGGTTGAGCGATTGCTCTGCGAAACATACTTTTTGAAATTCTCTTCATAGTATATCTTCCACCATTGAAATTTCGAATTTCTTCAAAAAAAGTGCTGAGAGGGGTGGCTTGCAACCTCGATATGGCTTGTTCCAGCCATGCTTTGGAGCCATCTTCTGTTGAAGTAGTGGCGGGGATCTGCCCTGCAACTGCTCCAACAAAAAATGATTCGATCTGAGAAAGGGTGAGACCGCGAATCTCGGTTGAATATTGAGTATTTCAAGCCTTTTCACGACGAAGATGGAGTTCTTTTTGGAGATGGACGTCGCGGCAAAAGACATGGTGTCCGACTTCTGGCGTCTGGTGAAGCCAGGGATCATTTGTCCAGTCAGGTCGGCAGCCTAACCGTCGGTAAGCTTGTGTTTGGATCCCGTTCTGCTTGATGTGGTAAATTTGATATCGCACAAATTGATCTCAGCATCGTGCGTATGGTATTTTATAATCAGAAAATCCCAAAGTGTCTCTGTGTGGCCGTCCTATGCCACGAGAAACTCCAATTAGGCTCCTATGTCCTCTGCCTTCATGATTAAATGTCCACTTCGTTTGAACAACGAACACAACAATCGAGGACGGCTTTGCAATGAAAAATACAGCTATACTGGAGCTGAAAAAAGAAGAAAAAAACGTGCTCAGGATGAGACTCGAGTACACGCATACTCTCCCAGCAGGTGAAACGCAAATTTTTGTGAAAAATGCGTGTCGCCGACTGACCAGTAATTTCGCCTGACGCATACATACACAACCAAATCCCACCTGCCTAGCAGCAACATGGTAATATCACCGTTTATGTCTAACTTACAGCTAGAAAGAGGCTTGATGGATCTGCTTTTGATGGCCGTTCTAAACACAAGTGGATAGGGAAACAACACGGTTCTCACCAATGACATCACCAATGACATCACCAGTAACATCAACTTCCTGGCATGAGTCGCATGACTAGCACCCGGTCTGACTTGCTATTATGCACTTCAGATTCACTATTGTTTTTATTCTCAAGTGAGCAGCACAGTGACCACACTGTACACATCAGCAATTTGTACTATCTAGGGATTTAGAAGGTTTACATGATCCATGGTCTAATCCGTTGATCCCCGAGCTGCAGAGAGTGCTCAATGTCAGAGACAGAGCTTAGTACATAGCAGACTCTGCGGAGGACGTTCAGGTTGGTTGTAACTCTGAGTTTCATGCCGCTAGGCAATCATCAGACAACTGATACTCGGGTCTACCCAACAGTATGCTTATAAACACATAGGGCCACAAGCATAAACAAATTTAGCGCTAAATCTGGTGTGAGGTATGGGGAGAAAGCTGGCGCGGCCAAGGCGCGACAGGGGAAGTGCCAGGATGGTGGCGGGCAACAGGCAGGTGTGAGCATGAAAGCGCGGAAAGAGGCGATGGGGAGGCAGTGTACAGCAGATGGGTGGAGGTGCCAGGAGGGTGGCGGGCAATGGGCCAGTGAGATCGCTACAAGTAGGGAGTCGTTTGGTGACGGGCAGGCGTGAGCAGAGTGGCATCGCCGACTACAGGTTAAGGGATTTTGTTAAATAATATTAAATGGGTGCTCAGGCAAAGTGCAGTACAGTACATGTACTTGGTCAGTTCATTTGATAGGTGTGAAATTTGCGAGGCGGAACTTATTCTCATGCCTGCATTTCGAGACCATCTTGTTGAGTAGGAGCTTCTTGGGTGTAGTCAGGATGTGGATTTTTTCCACGGTACAAAGATTGCATTTTTTTGACGCACATCAGTATGATCGGCTCTTCTCCCGCACCTTCCATGTAATGGTCAACGACTTTCCCTCGCTCTTCAGCTCCCATACGTGTTTTGCGAGCTCAGTGCTGTTTTTGTATTTTTCATGACGCATGGAGGTCAGGTGGTTGGCATGACGGGCTTTGAAAGGTGTCTCTGATAGGCCGATGTAAATCTTGCTGGTAGATTCTGCAGTGGCCTCATACACAATCTCCTTCGTCTGGCACTCTCCGCGCAGCGGGCAGGACTCCTTGATTCTACAGTTGCATGCCTTGGTTTGTTCTGGCTCTCGCAGGTTGCTCTTGTTGTGGCTGCTGATGACCGCTCCCATGTTGGGCATGCAACTGTAGCTCACTTTCAGAGTGTTACGGTTGAAAATCTTCCCGAGCTTGGATGTTTTCGGGAAGTGCCTGGAGACAAGGCTCAGGAACCTACCAGCGACGTTTGTGCTAACGTTTTTAGAGTAGGGAGGGTTGAACCATATGACCTTCCGGCTGCGGTTCTTCCTGCCCCTGTGCTCATGTGCCTCGGGCTGGAAGCTCAGCACTTCGGTGTATCCACTGGCCTTTAATGCGGTCTGGTACATGGGGGCTGCATGGTTGAATGCCTCCGCGTCGCTCGATATAGCGGAAAGGCGCTTATTGACAGCAGCAGGGATGTTGTTGGTGATCCCAGGCGGGTGGCGATGCCACTCTGCTCACGCCTGCCCGTCACCAAACGACTCCCTACTTGTAGATATCTCACTGGCCCATTGCCCGCCACCCTCCTGGCACCTCCACCCATCTGCTGTACACAGCCTCCCCATCGCCTCTTTCCGCGCTTTCATGCTCACACCTGCCTGTTGCCCGCCACCATCCTGGCACTTCCCCTGTCGCACCTTGGCCCGCGCCAGCTTTCTGCCCATACCTCACACCAGATTTAGCGCTAAATTTGTTTATGCTTGTGGCCCTATGTGTTTATAAGCATACTGTTGGGTAGACCCGAGTATCAGTTGTCTGATGATTGCCTAGCGGCATGAAACTCAGAGTTACAACCAACCTGAACGTCCTCCGCTGAGTCTGTTATGATCCATGGTCTACGTAACTCACGATTAAGATTGCGGCCCTGACCTCTTAACCCCAAGCACGAACCAGACAAGTGACCATATCCGCAAGTGTATTTTATTTAGCCCTGCTCCAAGGGCAATTGTAACAGGCAGCCGGGGCTGAACCAACATGACTTAACATTACAGTCGCCTGCATCATCTCCCTGACTGCCTGGTGACTGCACTGTTTAACCCAGACAATCTGCTAGCTGGGACTATGCATGTCAAGGACTTGTTCTCTACACTGGAGAAGCATGTCAATGACTTGTTCTCTACACTGGAGAAGCATGTCAATGACTTGGTCTCTACACTGGAGAAGCATGTCAATGACTTGTTCTCTACACTGGAGAAGTATGTCAATGACTTGGTCTCTACACTGGAGAAGCATGTCAATGACTTGTTCTCTACACTGAAGAAGCATGTCAATGACTTGGTCTCTACACTGGAGAAGCATGTCAATGACTTGTTCTCTACACTGGAGAAGCATGTCAATGACTTGGTCTCTAAACTTGAGAAGCATGTCAATGACTTGGTCTCTACACTGGAGAAGCATGTCAATGACTTGGTCTCTACACTGGAGAAGCATGTCAATGACTTGTTCTCTACACTGGAGAAGCATGTCAATGACTTGTTCTCTACACTGGAGAAGCATGTCAATGACTTGTTCTCTACACTGGAGAAGCATGTCAATGACTTGGTCTCTAAACTGGAGAAGCATGTCAATGACTTGGTCTCTACACTGGAGAAGCATGTCAATGACCTGTTCTCTACACTGGAGAAGCATGTCAATGGCTTGGTCTCTACACTGGAGAAGTATGTCAATGACTTGTTCTCTACACTGGAGAAGCATGTCAATGACTTGGTCTCTACACTGGAGAAGCATGTCAATGACTTGTTCTCTACACTGGAGAAGCATGTCAATGACTTGTTCTCTACACTGGAGAAGCATGTCAATGACTTGTTCTCTACACTGAAGAAGCATGTCAATGACTTGTTCTCTACACTGGAGAAGCATGTCAATGACTTGGTCTCTACACTGGAGAAGCAAGCTATTACTACTGCTACTGCTTTGTATGCAGAGATGGCAGTGCAAGCTAATACTACTGCCGGGTATCCAGAGACAGCAGAGACAGCAGTTACAGAAGAAAACACCAGTATTAAGATAACTGTGGATTTCCTATCTCTTAATTCGCTAAATCCTATATATAGGATTTTGGTCATATTTTTCAACTCAAAATGGGTGTGGCATGAGCATAGGGAAACGTATGTGACCAATTCTTCCGTGTTAGGTCTTAGTCGATATGGAGAGTTGAATAAGCAATTTTTTCAAATACTAACATCTAAGGCTCATCTCCTTGCGCAATATTTCTAAGGCCTGTGCCCTATTTTTCGAATCCTATTAATAGGATTTGAGATTTTACTGGACCTTGTTTTATCCTTAAAATTGGTAGTTTCACGACGGCATGTGCGATATGTCGTCATGAAACCACCCCGTGCCACACCTGTAATGTTCTTTTGCACATTTACTGCTTCAGTCCTTCCCATGACACCAGCTGAACAATGCTGCTCAAAATTCCAATTCTTGCTCAAAATGGGTATTCATGATGTCCTTTGAATTTAAAAAGTAAATATTCATGCCTCAAACTTATTTACAGCTTCTAATAAAACCATTATGCTCCTATTATGGGTCATGAATGACTCATAATGACCAATAACAACGGCATAAAGGTCACGCATTTTCAAATCCTATATATATAGGACTTTTGCCAGCAAATTAAGAGATCAACTCTAGTAGGAATGCACAGAATTGCTCACATTCCAGGAAATTCGTCAAGGCAATGTCATGGCATGTAAGCACAGATTCTCTACTGGCACATGACTATACGCGGGACAATTTTTGTCACCAAGGGTGTCCATTACAGCGTATTCTCTGCGAAGACATCTCACAGCTAGTGGTGTGTCAGAGTCCCTCCGGAAATACGGATGTGGACCATTTGACGTGAGGTTTCGCCATCGGATACCCTATAAAAGGAGTGCGTGTTCTTATACCGTTCGTACCGTCAACATGCAAATGCTGTAAAAAGAAATTGGGTATTGAGGTATGAGGTATTGAGGTATTGAGGTATGAGGTATTGAGGTATGGATGTATTGAGGTATTGAGGTATTGAGGTATTGAGGTATTGAGGTATTGAGGTATTGAGGTATTGAGGTATGGAGGTATGGAGGTATGGAGGTATGGAGGTGATGGAGGTATTGAGGTATGGAGGTATTGAGGTATTGAGGTATTGAGGTATGGAGGTATGGATGTATTGAGGTATTGAGGTATTGAGGTATTGAGGTATTGAGGTATGGAGGCATGGAGGCATGGAGGTGATGGAGGTATTGAGGTATGGAGGTATTGAGGTATGGAGGTATGGAGGTATGGAGGTATGGAGGTATGGAGGTATGGAGGTATGGAGGTATGGAGGTATGGAGGTATGGAGGGATGGAGGTATGGAGGTATGGAGGTATTGAGGTATTGAGGTATGGAGGTATGGAGGTATGGAGGTATTGAGGTATTGAGGTATGGAGGTATTGAGGTATTGAGGTATGGAGGTATGGATGTGCTCATCAAATGTGCAAAAGTATGTTATGCCACTTGACAATCTGCCAGACACATCCCCCCCCCCCTCCCCCCCCCCCCCCCCCTGCCAGACACATCATAGGCAGCAGACAAGATAGTTACACGTCACTCTCCCTCATCTGCCAGACACAGCATAGGCAGCAGACAAGATAGTTACCCGTCACTCTCCCTCCCCCCTCTCCCAAACTGAGGAATTGGCTAACTTGAGCATACCCACTAGAAGATCAAATTATGTTGGCGTATTTTCCGGAGCATAAGCCGCACTTTGAACACTCAAAATTCACTCCAAAAAAGGAGGTGCGGCTTATACTCCAATGATCAAATTAACGGTGATAAATAAGGTAGATGTATGTTTTTCGTGGCAAAATATGGGGGTGCGACTTATACTCCAGTGTGGCTTATACAGGCAGACCTCGCTTCACCGCACACATCCGTTTTCCACTAAACTATCCGGATAGGCGAGGGAACCGGATAACCGAACACCGGTTATGTTGGATGGATCTCGTATGCTGTAAATCTGTAACCAGCCATTTTCTTCCGTATGGCGAGGGATCCGGATAAAAGAGAACCAGATAAGCGAGGTCTGACTGTACTCCACAAAATACAGCAGTGCCTTACCCAATATGATATGTAGGAGAACGGACACCAATGGAGAGAGCCTAGCACTGTTGATGAACTCGTGGATCATGACTTGAGCTGCTCTCATAGGAGTGAGATCTACACATACCGCACACACGCACACGCATGCACACATGCACACATACACACGCATACACACACATACAGTCACACACCTAGGGTACCCTGTAAAAAGACTCACAGTCTGTGGGGATTGCCTTAGTAAAATAATAAATACTACTACTACCACTACTACTACTACTACTACTACTACTACTACTACTGACCAAACCACTTTTACGGGCAAAAAATACCATGGTAAGCACACAAGTGATGGAAAAGAGTGAGTAAGAACGAAAGAGAGAAAGAAAGAGAGAATGCACTAGTATGTCAAGAGAAGTAATCAATTGTTAAGGTCTTTGAGCTATTGTTATATTGTCCAGATTGACGCATGGACACTGAATCTCAGCCGGCAGCCTGTCGACACTGCACCAACAACGACGAGCGGACGCGACGCTGGTAGGGGGGGGGGGGACTACTACTACTACTACTACTACTACTACTACTACTACTACTACTACTACTACTACTACTACTACTACTACTACTACTACTACTACTACTACTACTACTACTACTACTACTACTACTACTACTACTACTACTACTACTACTACTACTACTACTACTACTACTACTACTACTACTACTACTACTACTACACACACACACACACACACACACACACACACACACACACACACACACACACACACATGCACAGCACATATACACGCAGACAATATGGTGGACACAGCAGTCATTGTCCTATAAACAGTCGGAAGTCCAGTAGGGAGTCAAAACTCATGATCAAGTCATATTTTTCTGACTCCGTCGAACTCATGCAACTTTCCCTGTAGAAAGTCGAAACATTTCCGGTACGCAAACTGAGTTGCTGTGAGTGGAGATTTTCGGAAAGATCACGCCTGCCCAATTTTTCCACCTATCATGGACTGCAGAATGGTTGTGGGGGTGTGTGTGTCCGAATGCGTGCAGACGTGTGTATGTGTGTGTGTATGTTTTGTGTGTGTGTGTGTGTGTGTTTATGTGTGTGTGTGTGTGTGTGTGTGTATGTGTGTGTGTGTGTGTGTGTGTGTGCGTGTGTGTGTGCGTGTGTGTGCGTGTGTGTGTGTGTGTACGTGTGTACATACGTGCGTGTATGTGCGCACATATGTGGGTGTATGTGTGTACACATGGCGTGCGCAGTGGTGCACATAGTCATACGCACCCTGTACCGGTGATGCAGGACAGCCACACGGAAGACGAGGAATGGTCAACTTGTCTGTAGACAGCTTGAAGGTCATGTCCACTAACACTGCCGGTACTTTCCTGGTAATACAAGAAACACAGGTTCATCATTAGCGAGGTTTTGCATTCCGAAATTCGGCAAAAAGATTCGGCACGCGGGAGCGAGGTCGAAAATGCACACGAAGATTCGGCGTGTTTGTTCGGAAAAAGTTCACTTTGCCGAAAATATTTTTCGGATGCATTTTCTTGTAGAAGAGCGCTAGCGCGTGATTTATTCAAAGAGGTTTCTTATCTCGGCATCGCTTGGCAGGCGTGTTTGGCGACATAGCATCGTCAGCTACCTTTGATTGCTCCTCTCCACTGCCTGTCTACTCTCTTTCGCCTGGAGTGTCCTCACCGTCATCTGTGTGGCTGAAAAGACTATGGCGACACGCATAAAATTTGACTTGGACATGGAGTTGGTTTTTCTGAGGCGACTGAGGGGGCAGGTTTGGCCCTCGACTCTTTGGCCGATCAAAGTTCGTTGCAATCAGCAAGAAATGGAGCACGGGACAGGACGTTGCTAATGCTGGGGCGCACGAAATGAAAACACATCATTTTCGACTTGCAAAACAAACGTTGGTGCGAAAATTCGACATTTTGATGTTCGACAAATGACCGAAGAACGCTGTACCGAAATTCAGAATGCAAAACCTCTCTATTGTCTACTGCTGTGTTTAGTGATTGTGTGTGTTGTGTGATCTAACTGAAGAGACAATTCACTAAGCCTGTGAAACTCTTGAAAACACAACATTTTGCAGACTGAAGTCACCCGCTCTGTGTTGATATAATTATAGTGAGTGCGTTCGATTATGCCCGCGAATCGATTCATGAATCCATTCATGAATCAATTCGCGCTATTCACATCACCCCATATGACTAGGGTGAATGGATTCCGAATCGATTCCAGGGCTCATGACATGAAATCAAACGGCGAGGTTTCATTCATGAATCGATTCAAGTGCAAAATCGAACGCAGCCAGTGGAAGACTGCTAAGAGATAACTTGTATTCCTGTGTCCCTCTTCCTGTCTATACAAAGTACATTCTATAGGACTGCTGCATACACGAACTGCACACATGTATAGAACAACTTACCGCAGGATTCTTGAATCAAGTTCTCGGAAAACACACTGAAACCACCACGGTGCCTGGGTTGGATATGCACAGCATGTACAGCAAACACAACCCAACATCAATAAACAGAGATATAGCAAACACAACCGAACATCAATAAACAGAGATTTAGCAAACACAACCGAACATCAATAAACAGCATCACCCGACACCACGCCACACCACGCCACACCACCCAACACCACCCAACACCACCCAACACCACATAACATCTCCCCACACCACAAACATAACCAGACACGATCACAAATTAGCAGATACCATTAGACACCACTATGCGCATACTGTATTTCCCCGGATATAAGTCACACTTTTTTACCCACGGGTGCGACTTACAATCGAGCATGAGCGAAACTGAACTGAACAGATGAAAAATGACATGACATGGTCCATTGGACCTGAAAATGGGGGTGTGACTTAAAATCAGGCGTGACTTACAATCGGGGAAATACGGTACGCCATTACCATATCCTTCAGATTACTAGAAACTGCGCCTAGTCCATAGTCCATAGTCCATAGTCCATAGTCCATAGTCCTGCATGACCTGGAGTGTGTGGCTGATACCACAAACTTTTCCATCGACTCGTAAAGGAATTATTTTGAAAATCCACTGTCTATTGTCAGAGTCAAAAATATTAACTTGGAACACCACTACTACCACTGTCAGAGATGAAGACATCCATACAATTGCCGAGGCATACAGTTGGAAGTGACCCACCACAAAGTGGTCAGAGACCAAAAACTTCCATTTGCTTCATTCATGTTCCCTACTGTCAGGCCAAATAAAAAAATTAACATTCCCAATAACTGAGATTACTAGAAGGGATCTCAGCATGTGAACTGCGCAGCCAGTTTGTGCAGGTGAGATTTTAGATCCGAAACGCGACCAGTGCAGAAACCGTGAAAAAGAGCATTTTTCGAAATAAATCAAGTTGAAGAAGACAGTAGAAATGGCTGAATGTTGCGTCCAAGAAAGCACGTTCTACGGCCATCTCCAAGCTGCCTATCTCCCAGACACTCTCTCAGAGGAACTTTGGAGGGTCAAAGAGCACAATATTTCACTCTTGGACGCAGAGTGAACACCTCTTCTTCTGAGAGCGATGTCTTCTCTCTGAGTGATAATGGCGGCGATGTTCACGATGGCTGATGCACTGAAAATCGAAGTTAGGACAATCTAACCGGTGAAACCGTCTGAATTTTTCACTGAATCTTCTCTGAAGTGGGTTCTTGCCGCATGGCAAACTATAGGAAAATCGACCAGGGCAATATCACCTTGGCCACGCTGTCCTTCCGCGAGAATCACAAAGTATGCTTGAACGACGATGAAGATGACGATTCCGCTACTGTCGACCGCTTCCGCTGGTGTCGAAAATCGGCCATCGCCATTTTACAGCTGTGTCCGCGAGCTGCACTCAAAACTCGATGACGCAATGGATGCGCAAAAACCCTGCGCATTGCACGCGCTGAGATCCCGACTACTTCCTCCGTTAACAACAACTTCGTGATGGATTTTTGAGGGACTGGTTTGCGCACAAACTGCCGTGAAATGAGTCGTAATCACTTTCTCGGCCTTCCCTGGCATGCCATGAAAGAGGTATGATGCGAGGAAAGCGACCTTTCACAACAAGCCGAGCGGAATCGATGGTTGCGCTGTGGCAACATAGGTGATGACAGTCCTGGCGAGCGAAACTGAAATACCACTTCTCCGAGGGACAATGCGCTGCTTGGCCTCTCTACTACTCTAGCACTGAGTTAGAGAGGGATAGGGACTGATGGAACGAGCAGCGAGCCCTCACAATGAGCGAGTGAGCAAGGAGCTGATCCGATCGCACGACGCAATGAAATAAATTTGAATTCAAGTTCTTGTTCAACCTGCGCAAAGCCCAGATTCGAATGCTGATGACCATGCATTCATTTAGAAGTCTGCAGTCCGACGCGAGTCTCGTGGCTAAGGAAAGTCGACTGGACTTGCTAGCCGCTGCCGTTCAGTGCTGGCAAGAGTATCCATCAGAGAAATTGGAATCTCCTCGTTTTGCGGAGTTCTGAAGAGCGGAGATGAAACCAGGGAGTCGTAAAATATTTTTACAACTCCGTGGTGGAAACGAGTAACCGCCACCGCGGCGGATCATGCAATTGAAAGCCAACTTACTTGAACCACAGCGACATCAAGTTTCGCGGAGTGTGATCAAAGAAGCCGAGGCAAGACTGAAGCGAGCTGCACAACGACTCTTGAGAGCTGACGACTCGCGTGCAGCAGATGACGACAGCGACGCAGGGTCAGAAATGAGTCGAGCGAAAGCGACGAAAACTGATTTCTCTGCTCATTCCGCCAACAGTTTCTTTAGTAAAGATGCTGTACATAGGCTGAACTACCTTCGTCTAGTGATTTGCAGTCGATACAAACTGTTCTTGACCTGTTCTATGCGTCTTCATATCCATCAAAATCCATCACGAAGTTTTTGTTAATGGAGGAAGTACTAGCAACTGGAGAAATACCAGTATTCAAGCTGCACATTAGGGAACATCTGTGTCCAATGTGTACTGATATTCACACTGCATATTTGAGAACATGTTCATCCAATGTGCATTGATATTCATACTACACACTTGAGAACATGTCCGTCCAATGTTCATTGATATTCATACACACTTGAGAACATGTCCAGCCAAAGCGTAATCATACCTGATTGATGTCCCCTTCTCCACGAGGCTGTGCCAAATACTGATACACTGAATCTCTGAGCACCAGAATCACAAACACAAACACAACCATACACCCAGCCATACACACACACGCACACACGCACACACACACACACACACACACACACACACACACACACACACACACACACACAACACAACACACACACGCACACACACACACACACACACACACATGCACGCATGCACGCACACATGCGTGCACACACACACACACACACACACCTCAGACCTCAGACCTGCCCATCGCGGAAGCGATGATAGCGAACAGCTATGTTAGACATAGCAACTTATGCTGGGATTACACCATTCAACAGCTTGCAAGGCTGATGAATTGACCGCCACTATTTGCACACACACACACACACACTCACACACGCACACGCACACACACACACGCACACACACACACGCACACACACACACACACACACACACACACACACACACACACACACACTTGAACTTGCTCACTGCAAGGGCAGGTCACATGGGTCTCCCCGGGAGAGGGGAGACAGCTTCAAAAGGAATCTTGGAAAGATGACTAAAATGGTTATTGAACCGCCGACGTCCCCTGAAATCTCCAGACCCGGGGTGGACTTGGAAATAATCCCACTTATGGGCTCATCACACCTCAGTAAGTGGGTGAGGTCAAGGTGCAGAAAAAGGATTGACGGCGTCAGGGTATCTGGTGCCATGATCACAATGCATTTACATTTTAAGTGTGAGGGTAAACGATGAATGCAGTCACACTCCGGCCGGAGCTTCGACTTCGAACTTGACAGTGCTTTGGGCTCATTGCACCAGTATTCCCCTCAATTCCCAGCTCAGCACTTCTGGAACTGAAACTAACTAACTGTAATATGCAGTGTTTACTCAGAGCTAACGATGTGTTGCTGGGTTGACATGTGCTAAATGTGTGCGCATGTGCATGGGTATGTGCATGGGTATATTATACGTGTGTGTATGTGTGTGTATATGATTGTATGTACATGTGTGTGTGTTTGTGTGTGTGTATGTGTGTGTGTGTGTGTGTGTGTGTGTGTATGTGTGTGCATGTTTGTACATATGTGCATGTGTGTGTGTGTGTGTGTGTGTGTGTGTGTGTGTGTGTGTGTGTGTGTGTGTGTGTGTGTGTGTGTGTGTGTGTGTGTGTGTGTGTACACTTTGCGTTGCTTACTTGTCATGTCTGAAGAGCGCTGACAAGAACAGACCTTTGCCAGCATGGAGCATCACACAGTGCAAGGGCCACACCAGACCGTGGAACATGTCAAACTGAGCACACACTAAGCTGCTCAGTCTCAGTACTAATGGGAGAAGATGACGAACAAGCTGGTAGTTTCCGGCCCTCAGCGCCAAGAGCATGTTCCTCTCACTTGATACAGCAGTGGACGAAGTGCAGTTGGCAAATAGAAGCCTCCACGACCACATCGGTGTACCAATACAAGTGGCCAGGTGACAACTGTTGCTACAGAATTCCAGCAACCACTTCACTGAGCTTGCTGCTGGCTTATCAACATCTACTGTATCACATAAACAACAAGAGTATCAGAAAACAGAGAATCTGTGTACAGAGGATCATTGCGAAGAAGGAAGAGTAAGGGAATGTGCAATCATTGGCAGTACTGAGTATGTTGAATGATTAACATTGCAAAGCAGCACCAAAGAAATAATTTAGGCAAGTTTTGTGTCTATTTTTTCTTCAGGCTTTTGTCAACTCGCTCAACTAACGAATAAAGTCTGTGACCACGTTGAACTACTCATAGACTTCAACTCAGTCCAGGGGCGTACGCAGGATCCGGAATGAGGGGGAGGGGGGGGGGGGTGCTCCAACATTTCCCCAAAGAACCGAATAATGCATTTTTTCAGTGCGTTTGATACATGGATGGTTGATATGTTGATGTTTACTTTTACTGTGCCATTTAACCGTGATTCAAGCATTTACCATGATTTACCAAGTCCAGGGAAAATGTAGGAACTTTTCTGTAGGATGGAGCAACCATGAGGCCTTGAAGTACCCAATCTCAAATATACCCCTCCATTTGGAGGACAAAATATACTTCCTCTGTAAGCTAGGTCCAAGAGTACACCACTCTTGCTAGATCATAATTATCACGAAACCATTTTCAATTTGACTAATGTACTTTGAAGTACTAGAACAACTTACAATACTTCACACATTGAATGGGGCGAGAAGGCAAAAGTACCATAACAACTTCTGGCAGGAGTCACAGAAAAAGCTCCCAGGAGTTTTATACACTTGCTTTTGGTATGGAGAAATAGAATCAGGTAATAGAGGAAGCAAGTGCAATGGATGGTGGTAGCTTCACAAACAGGATACTAGCAGAGGGCTGCCACATTTCTGTTGGTAGAAATCAGAAGCAGTGTCTGAGGTGTTCAATGTCAGGATGGCAAGGGGGCAGCTACCCCTTTAGAAGCCGTAGCATTTTTAGGATTTCAAGGGCCCGAAACAACAGATTAGTACACTTTCGTGAACAATCGTTTTCAGTCGGTTTGTCGGAACAGCTGATCGGAGTGTTCCCGGAAAATCGGAATAGAATAAGTCGAGGCACCTTAAAATATGGATAACCCTCTGTCCTGCCACATGAAAGTGCAATGGTGAGCTATGATCAACTAGTGACGACAGCGAGTGGAACGCAAAACATCCGTTAGAAAAATCTGATAATTGTGCCACGAAAATCGCTTTCAAAAGTCTGATTTATGAACATGCCCATTTCACAATGAAGTTTACTAACAAATTCAATCACATCTCAATGTATAGCCTCACTCAAGACCTTTCCAATGGGCCGTCATTTGCGTGAATCGGACAATCGGTTGCAAAGTTATGGTACTTTTACTTTAGCGGCATGGGTGCATCAAGTTGGCCTTCATGTACATGTACGTCGAAAATTTTGAGGGGGGGGGGGGTGGTTCTGCACCCAAAGCAGCCCCCCCCCTGGGTACGCCACTGCAGTCATTTCCACAATGCTGATGTCTCTCTCTCTCTCCCTCTCCCTCCCCCCCCCCCCCCATCTCTCTTTCTCTCCCAATGGAATATTCAATGCTGCCTGATGATCTCCAGTGTGTGAAGTTACAGCAAAACAGCCCACTGTCTCGGTTGCCTGGTATTTCTCTTTACCACTCTGCAATCTGGTGCATTAAGCACTCTACCAACCTGCCCCGACTGCCCCGACTGCCCCCCGGATTGCAGTTTTCCTCATTCTCTCTATGTCTCTATGTCTCTATGTCTGACTGTCCGTCTGCCTGTTCGTTTTCCTGTCAATATCTCCCCCCCCCCCCCCATCTCTTTCTCTCTCCCTCTCCCTCCCCCCCCATCTCTTTTTCTCTCCCTCTCCCTCCCTTCCCCCCTCTCTCTCTCTCTCTCTCTCTCTCTCTCTCTCTCTCTCTCTCTCTCTCTCTCTCTCTCTCTCTCTCTCTCTCTCTCTCTCTCTCTCTCTCCGTCTCAGTCTCCGTCCCTGTCTGTGTCCTCGTCTCTGTCTCTGTTTGTCTCCGTCTCTGTCTCTGTCTCTGCCTGCCTCTGTCTGTCTCCGTCTCTGTCTGTCTCTGTCTGTCTGTCTGTCTGCACGTCTGTCGGTCTGTATGTCTGTCTGTCCGCTTGTCTGGTTTGCAGTATGGCTGTCTCTCTGCGCCTGTCTCTGCCGCAGCCTCTCTCTGTCTGTCTGTCTATGTCTATCTCTGTCTGTCTCTGTCTGTATGCCTGTCTGTCTGCCTGTCTGGCTGTCTGTCTGTCTGTCTGTCTGTCTGTCTGTCTGTCTGTCTGTCTGTCTGTCTGTCTGTTTGTCTGTCTGTTTGTCTGTCTGTCTGTTTGTCTGTCTCTCTCTCTCTCTCTCTCTCTTTCGCTCGCTCTCCCAAACGGTCTCTTCACTGTGAACACCTAACTTGCCACCTCACTAACATTTTTGCTGTGGCCACAATCAGAGTAACAGCTAAAGACTAAGACCCTATGTTAGTTTTCACGCGAATCATGTGGATGCTCCACAATCCGTGAAATGTAAAGTTATATCTTCACATTCAAGAGATTATTTGGGAGGGAGGAGAGGGGAAAGGGGAGGGGGAGAGGGGAAAGGGGAGGGAGAGAGGGAGGGAGAGGGGGAGGGAGAGGGGGAGGGAGAGGGGGGAGGGAGAGGGGGAGGGAGAGGGATGGAGAGGGCAGAGAGGGGGGAGAGAGGGATGAGAGGGGGGAGAGAGGGATGGAGAGGGGGGAGAGAGGGATGGAGAGGGGGGAGAGAGGGATGGAGACGGGGGAGAGAGGGATGGAGAGGGGGAGAGAGGGATGGAGAGGGGGGAGAGAGGGATGGAGAGGGGGGAGAGAGGGATGGAGAGGGGGAGAGAGAGGGATGGAGAGGGGGGAGAGAGGGGTGGAGAGGGGGGAGAGAGGGATGGAGAGAATAACAAGAAACGGGAACAAGTACTGTCGCGGACATGGAAATCCAGTCGATTGACCGGGGCCGGCGCCCTCAGCGCGTACAGAACGTAAGTCGTTGCATGCAGCGCACATGTAATTGTTGATACGATGCGAGCAGCGCGTAATTAATCATGCATGCCATGGCTGCGTGGCCAGCGCCCTGGGGCAGCTAGACGTGCGACCGGATTTCCATGTCCACGACAGTAGGTACGTACTGCAAGTCGACAAATTGTCGGCGCATCCAAATGTCTGCCTCCCAGGGCTAAAACCCATTTCGGCCGCATCAAATGTGCGGCCTGTACTGCTGCCGCATGTATACACTGTCACACTGAACCATGCAAAACAAAATTTTCGGCCGCAACAAATTTTCCGCCAAACATAACCAGGCCGAAAACATCTGAAAATAGATATGCTCCGAATTGTGTTGACATACAGTGGGGGGGGGAGGCACGGCTGTTCAAGTGGGCGAAAAAACAGCCAGTCAAGGCCAGCTGATTTTCCTTTGAGATTTGAATTTTTGGTGAAGATGACGACGCTCGTGGGAGTCAGCTGTGCGGGAAATGTCAGATAGCCGGCCAAATTCCAAGAGATAACCGTACCAAATCAAACCGGGAATCGGTAAAATCGATCAGGTTCGCCAGGTAAGGTTATGTCCTTGCCGCGATCAAGAGCTAGATCTGTCCTTTGCTTTTTTTGCGCGTCTCTCTCGTCTTTTTGATCAGCCCTGGATATTTCGTGACAGCAGCTTTCACTTTGGCTATAGAGCACTTTGACGTGACTCAGCCTTGTTTCTGGATTTTTGCCATGGTATCAAGAAGTTTTCTCGTGAAGGTAAGGCTTTTGTGCTGCTCGTTGAAAAGAATCAGCTTGATACCATGAGCAGTTTTTTGCTTCCAACCGTCCGCGTGTTGTGTATTGTTTTGATGCATCAGCTGATCAGGATGGAGGAGCACGTGAAGAACCTTGCCCAGCTGTGCCGTTTGTGTGCAGGAAAGCTCCATCGCAGGCATTCTGGTAGAGTAGCGTCAGTGTACCTTGTGAAGGACTATGCTGTGGACATAGCTCGTTGCTACAGCGCAGACATATGTTTGGATGACTCTGAAATTCATCCCGACACATTTCTGTGCATCGTGTAGAACTGTACTTACGAAGTTCAGTGCGAGTGGTGTTTCTACTGTGGCAACGGGCTCATCATCGACGTCCAGTGAGCCCAGTGGCAGTGCAGTTGCAGCCTCCAGTGAGTACAGTGCAGTAGCTGCATCCAGTGCAACATCGAGGCCAAGGGTTGCCCACCAATGGCTAAAGCACCCTGAAATTGGCCCTTGTACCTCATGTGAGATGGGAGGGAAGTTAGTGCAGGGTGGTCGTCCAGCAAAGAAGAGGAAGTTTTTGGGCATGCAGGCCTCATCCAGCACGTCCAAGGAGCCTGTTGCACTGGATGTCGCAATTGACATGGAAGAAGACGAATTCTACCAGATAGCACCTCCGTCCTTTAAGACCCAGGGACGGCTAGAGCCGAGTAGGTTCATTTCTCCCGTGCCGAGCCTAGCGTGTGGTGTGTGTGCAGATATTGTTGATAGGCCTGTGCAGCCACCGTGTTGTCTATTGTTGTTGTGTGCATCTTGTGTGTACGCTCACCACCAAGAGCATGAAACATGCACACACTGCAGCCAACAACTTCGGCTTTCACAGTACAAAGCACCACACCCACTGCTAATCCAGGTACTGAGAGAGCAACTATTACATTGTGATTTTGTGAGCCAGAGTGCTCTTTCCGGCTGCACCGCAATCGTTCCTCTGGAGAAGCTGAAAAGCCACTGCAGTACTTGCTCTCTCAGCACTGGTGCCGCACACAGCACAATATCACCGCCAACAACCGTGGCAGAAATAATGACTGCATCAGCTGGTATGCTTCGAGGCGGCACAGCCAATATGCTCCTTGCCAAACTTATTAGAAGCATGCAGGATGATGGCAAGATTGAGCAATGGACTGGCCGTCGCCCGATTATGTGGATGAAGATCCCAACAGCATCAGTGTCTAGCAGTGAAGCGTCAAGCCGTGTCCTGCGCAGAAGAGAATCGACTCTGCAGAGTGTTTCCGAGGTGGTATGTGGAGGTGAGTCTGGCAGTGCCTCTCAGCGAGTACACTCCACTAGAGTGATGTCGAAGGAGTCTAGAGAAAGTTTGCTGCACGATGCTGGTGTACTGTCTGAGAAGCCTGCCAGTGGGGTAGGGCTAGCCATAAAGGCAGACTTGCAGCTGCCATGGTACAAGCTGCGCAAACTGCAGAGGTACCTACGGGAGTTTGGTGTACCTCTCGAGTCCGAACATGCCATGCGTCGGAAGCTTCATGATGAACTCCCCTTTGAACTGATCGCCCGTGAAGTGCCTCTGACAGTCAAGGATGGCAATATATCACTTTGCCTCGTTGTCTCTTTCACCAGCCTCATCGATCTCGTGCTGCACTATATTGACATGAACGACAAAGCCGGCACACTGATCTGGCCCGGGGGGTTGCCCGAAGATGAGGTATGGGTGAAAGTGGGGGGTGACCATGGCTATAAATCTTTCAAGTTCTGTTTTGAGCTGGCCAATACTGCACACCCCAATGCCTTGTACAACACGGTCCCATTCGTCGTCTTCTGTGCCAAGGACACGCCGGCCAACTTAGCTACAACTCTGTCTCCATACAGTGATCAGCTATCACAGTTACATGGTATGAAATGGAAGGACAAGACGATTAAGCTGTCACTGTTTGGAGACTACGAGTTTCTAATGAAAGCGTATGGGCTTTCCGGTGCAGCAGGAAGATACCCGTGCTTGTTCTGTCAAGCCACCAAGGCCGACCTCCAGCACAGCCAGACTGCAAGCACTCAACCAACACGCACACTGCATACTCTCAACACCAACCTAGAAGCGTTTCAGGCAGACGGGAGCAGATTATCAAGAGCAAAGGAACACAAGAACGTTATTAGACCAGCATTGTTCGAAATAGAATTAGAAAATATTTGCATTCCTGTACTGCATCTGGACCTCGGGATATTTCCATGGTTGTACGAGGCCATGCTGAAGGATGCGGAGAAGCTGGATCTGGCGCTTGCCAAGTTAAGCGCTGATGTTCAGCAACCGTCAGAGTCTTTCGTACGTGTTTCCCAGGAAAATCGTCGTCTGCGAGAAGCCCAGACAGAGCTCGTAGAGCAACAGCAGGACATAAGCAATGTACAACAGCATTTGTACCTTGTCGTGCTACACTGCCGGGAGGGGGACCAGGCTGCAATCGATGCAGTTGCAGCAGTACAGTCTCACTGGGCGCAGCTGAAAGAGTCAGCACAGAAACTCCAGGAAGAGATTGCTACTCTGCAACAGTCGTTATCAACTGCTTGTGTGGAGAGTGGTCCCTGTGTGTCCTGCTTTGACACAGTACTCGTCAAGCATCGCATCGAGCGGCAGGCATACCACTCTGGTGCCTTTATTGGCAACCACGTCCACAGGGCACTGCAGCAGACGGTTATCGAGGAGCTCACCTCTGCTCCAGTAGCAACGGTCCAGACATATCTGTCAGACTCTCCGTCGCCGGACGAGACCAGCATACTACAGGAGGCTCAGGAGCTGCAGGCACGCTACAGCAAGCTGTTTGCAGCGTATGCTAGTTGTCGAGCAGTATTCTCCAAGTGCCAAGTAGCAGATGATGATGTCCTAGAATCCTTGGAGAAGCAGATTTCCGAGTTCATGGCAATGGTGAGGCATGACATTGCAGAACGTCTTGGGAAGTCCATCACGCCGAAGTTACACTTGCTTGAGTGTCACACAGTTCCCTGCATGCGAAGATTCGGCGTCTCCCTTGGCCTCCTCGGTGAGCAAGGTGGAGAAAGTATTCACAGGAAATTCAAACAGCTACGCTCGTCCCTGGAGAACATGAACCGTGATGTCGATCGACTCCACGTTCTGGTCACGCAGTATCTGACCACGACATTGCCTCACTATAATCGTATGATTCTCCAGCCGAAGAGAAGAACACTTGAGAAGTAGAAAGGGAAGCGTAAATATACCTAACATTTCAATAACTGAGTCGTTGTTACTGATCCTTTGAATCGTTGTTGTTCGTAATTTAGGTTATCCTCCGGAGCCCAGGCCGGCGGACCCGCAAGGGTTGGTTGTCCACACCTGCCCATAGGTATAAATGTAGCCAGAAGGTGTCTAGAGAGAATACATAAAGGAAAACATTCTGAAGAATTGGAATTTCTCTCGATCAAATAATCTACTAAAAATCAGTCACACGGCTAAAAAAGCTCAACAAGTACAAAAATGACTGAAAAGGTTCCTCGACGCGTTGCGTGCTCTCGAGTTTCCATAGAGATTTGTGACGTAGAAAGTTTTTCGCGGATCCTGATTTTTGGCCGCCATTGTGATAAATGGCCACGCTAGAACAGCCGTGGGGGGGGGGGGTGGATATCACATAGCAATAGTATCGTAACACTCAGTAGTAGCACAAACTTCAGGCTCTTCAACAACATTGTAGCATTAGACAATAGTATAGTGTGTGGCTGATGACAGTACTACTCTCACCTGCAGTCGCCTTTTCCACCTCAGCCTGAGACTGGTCGTGCTCATTAGCAGTGGTTGTAGAGTGGTTAGGGAACGCTGCTCCATTGGCACAAGATGCTTTCATAGCATCAACAAGGGTCTGTATTGGCGATGTGACACAAACCAGTGTGGAGTACAGTGTCATACATGACTGATGAATACTGTGTATAGCAACTTCAATGGCTGCTGCTGCTGCTGCTGCTGAGGGTGATGGTGATGATGATGGTGATGGTGCTGTAGATGATGGTGATGAGGAATACTGGTGATCTCCAGTAGGTAGAAGCTTCCACAGCACGTCATCAACTGTTGACAGCAGCATGATCAAGTCTGATCTACATTGTGAATACGCAACACCCAAGGCAGCACACATTATTGCACATGTGTCATGTGTCATGTGTAGGACTGCTCAAGTGTGTTTTAAACCTAAAGCCTATAATACATGGTATCCAGGGCAGAGGGGGTGAGAGGGGGTGAGAGGGGGGGGGGGTGAGAGGGGGTGAGAGGGGGTGTGGGGGGTGAGAGGGGGTGAGAGGGGGTGAGAGGGGGGTGAGAAGGGGTGAGAAGGGGTGAGAGGGGGTGAGAGGGGGTGAGAGGGGTGAGAGGGGTTGAGAGGGGGTGAGGGGGGGGGGGGTTGAGAGGGGGTGAGGGGGGGGGAGGGGGTGAGGGGGGGGGGGGAGGACTATGTAGAGGATCAAGACTAGGATCAACAATACTATAAACCTTGTCGCGATGTCAGTGCAGTCCCTGTGCAACACAATGCATTTCCAACACCGTTCATAGATACACCATTCATAGATACACCATTCATCTCTCTAGAATGCACTGTAGTACACTACAATTAGGGGAACCTCCAGGATCTGGTTGAGGAGGGGATCCCCCTTTCTCTCCATACACACACACACTTCCACTTCCACATGCCCATTGCGGAAGTGATGATAGCGAACAGCTATGTTACACATAGCAACTTGTGGTGGGATTACACCATTCAACAGCTTGCAAGGCTGATGAATTGACCGCCACTAATCTTAGCCTGGTCTACACCACACAGCTGATTGAATCGGCTTTTTCCGGGCCAGAAAATCTCTAAAACTCGGATGTTGAGCCAATAATAAATGTAGAAAGGAAGAGTACTTTCTGACTGTATACACTGATGGAGAGTCACTCTTACTCGTATCCATAATTATGTCCTCTTCCTTTCTACAGAATATCTCTATCTTCTTTTCTTTTTTTTTCGACACACACCACACACTCCAGCACGCACTAGCTCTTGGTAGCCACCCAGAAGAAGGGAAGAAGAGCTAGGAGAATGAGAGAGAGAAGAAAAACGACTATGGTCACACGCGCACGCGCGCGCACGTTCACACACACACACACACACACACACACACACACACACACACGCGCGCACACACACACACACACACACACACACACCTGGTCCTGGTAACTAAACACTGCCATACACACACACACACACACCAATGATGGACGACTGGTTAACCATTTTTTCTATAATAATAACAATAATAATTTTTAAACTCGGGTATTGAGCCAATAATAAAAGTAGAAAGGAAAAGGACATATGGAAACGAGTTAAGAGTAACTCTCCACCACTGTAACTAGATACTATATACAGTCAGAAAGTGGTGGAGAGTTACTCTTAACTCGTTTCCATATGTCCTTTTCCTTTCTACTTTAATAATTTTTAAATATGACCATTTACTTCCAAGTGCCGCACTTGCACAAGAAACACTAGCTACAGATTCCAACGTGTGATTCATCATACAGTACAGAAAAGTGGTTGGATCCATGTACCTTGTCCACCAGGATAAACTAACCTGAAAAGATCAAGACGTCTCCTAGTTGGCTTGGCACAGGAATAGCGTGATGCTAGCTGATCTAACAACTGACTCAGCAGCTCAAATACTAGTTTCTGTCTGCCTTCTCGACAATATTTGCCACAGCATGTCACGTGATAGAGCAAGCTATACACTCCAAGACAGAAATGCTTGATGGGGTAGGAACTCTTCTCATCCTATAACAGACAGAACACAATATATAGTGTGCAAGCATACATGTATACATGCACACACAAACATGCACACACACACATACACACACATACACCCACACACACACACACACACACACACACACACACACATACACACCCACACACACACACACACACACACACACACACACACACATGCAGAACATAGTTACATTAAGGAAGAAGTCGATAAATAGTCATCAGGATGAGGATTGTTAAAACAACCTTTCTACAGACCATTCATTGGGGACTGGCACCCAAAACAGACACTTCAGTCATGTGACCAGACCTGTCAAATATGTTGCCCTCCGGTCTCATGTTGTTGCTGTGCAAGCAGAGTCATGTAGTGGTGAAGTAATCCCTACAATGTCTGACGGCAAGTACTTGCCAGAGGTACTCCAGTGCTGTTTGGAGGTACTAGCATGCAATGTTGCTACAGTATGTACCTTCAATGTATGGAACGCCAGAGTACATACCCCCCCCCCCCCCCCCCCGAGAGTGCGCAACTAGACTATGGGTGGTGTCCCGACAGAATTTCAAGTTGACGTCATTTTTATGATGTAATGCGCACTGTACACGGATTGTCAGACGAATCCGGAACATGTGGTGGACCAAAGCCCATCTCATCCTGTACAAATGATTGCAAAGAAAAATATGCGATGCGTTAACACCCGTACACATGTGGTAAATCACTGGTGCAAGGAGCATTGCATCATGACGTCATCTTGAAATTCTGCCGTGACAGCAGGGTATGTGGGAGTCGCACACTCTTGGTGGGTTATGCGCTCTTGATGGAAAGTCATAGACAGAGTGCTGCCTCTAGTGGGCAAGAAAGCTGATTGTCTGCCATCGCATGGGTTACTCTCACAAATGTATGTGGAGCTGAAAGGCCTGGCCAGCCTTCAGCTTGCCGATGAACTAGCTGAAGAATAAGACATGACTCTGCATAGCGACGGCACAAGCAAGCACGGCAACAAATCCGGAGCCTCCAAGATCTCCACCAGTACACAGCGTGTGTACAGCTTGGGCATTGTGGACATGCAGCGCGAGTACACAGCGTGTGTACAGCTTGGGCATGGTGGACATGCAGTGCGGAACTGCCACTCATACTCTGGAAGTGCTTAAAGCAGTCTTGGATGATGTTTCAAAGATGTCAGCTACAGAAGGCAAGGCTGGGGCTGGCGACCACATTATCGCAAACATCAAGAATACAATGTGTTCAGGAGGCCGCACATGTCACTGACATGCACCCTCGTTTCGTGTTGCACGTAGCTGTGCCGTTTGTGTTCACACTTTAAAAGTCCTTGTCTTCACCTTCTTTTGCGCCTGCTCATTGAGTTCTTCGCATGCAAGTGTTAGTTATAAGTAAACGGTATCATAGCGGTAGTCAGTTGGTTATAGTTTTTATGAATTCGTTGGAAGGCTTCAAACAAGTGCGGCTTGGAGTCACATTTTCTAACAGAGTTTTCTCGCGATAGTCATGAGCTAGTCCTTTGCTTGAGTGTGTGATGTGGGTGTGTGCCGAGGCAGAAGCACGCCTCTACAGAACACAATGAGTGACCGGAGTATTGTGCAGAAGACGTTCAATGGTCTTCTGGAAGATTACAGGAAAGAAGTGTTGTCCCGTGTACTCAGTGACTGGTCCGAACTCCCTGAGGCTCAGCAGAAGGAACTTTCCAGCATGAACTTTTTCTTCTGCAGCTTCCACTTCATTGTTGGGCTGGCAGACCAAGCAGACACAATTTTGAAGAAGTGACATCCACGGGGACACAAATCGCCTGCTCAAGGCAGTCCAAGCCAACCTGTTCGTCCCGTCCCCATATTTGCCATAGCTACCCCGGCCCTTTATCTTGCCGCCCTCACTCAATCTCTCTCTGTTCCATAATGAAGTCGTTACGTTCGTCTTGGCCTCCCTCTCTTCGTCTATAATAAAAGTCTTCCCAATTACCAGTTCCCGCTGTCCGTTGTCTTGGGGAGTACTCGTCCTTTTTGTACACAACACTTCCAATGGGAGAATCCGACATCGCAGTGCTTTTCAACGTGGCCAGGTCAACTTGTAGAATATCGCATTGAGTGTATTGCTTTATCTGAGAGAGGAGATGTCCGTACCCTTGAGACACGAAGTCCCGTTTCCATATGACAAAGTTTAGGAGCTCTGCGCTCAGCGCCTTTTCAGGGTATGAATTTCGGGTTGTTCTGGTCATCGTAGCGTCGCGGACTATTCCATCGTCTTCAGCGTCTAAAAACTACTGGCCATGTTAACTTACAAGGCAATGAGAAACTTTCGTCTTCCTCTACCAGCAAATTTGCTCTGCGCCAGGATACCAAAGTATGCAATACCGTACGCGCAGTTCGAGTGACGAGGCGTGTGCAGTTCGAGTGACGAGGCGTGTGCACGGTACACTGCACTGCATGCACTGACTGCGCAGTCGTGAAATTTTCTCGATTCTCCCGTCACTCACATTCACTTCTGTTTCCAGCGAAAGTCCAACTTTGCACACTTCAAGTCACTATCTCAAGAGTGGCTGGTCCGATTTAAATAATACTTGCAGATTGCCTATGTTACGCCAGGGAGAATCAAATGAGACCAAAATCGAAGCAATCGCAGCAAGCTTTGAAAATTGGGTGTAGTCACTACGTTGCAGTAAAGTAGCTCTACGATCTTAGATACATACCAGTACACATTGCCATGGAAACCAGTGCTATGTGTGTAGTACTACTAGCGGCTTTTTTGATTTTGCGTACAGTTCGTTCCTAACCAACACATAGCTGAGTGCCAGAAGAATGTCTTTTATAGCCTTTACCACCGCATTTGCCTCCTGGTACTCTCTTAGTCACTATCACTGTATCAGTTCATTTCACAGCAAACTAAACCTGTTGCTACGGGGTTTCTATTGGGGTTGCTATGGGGTTGCTATGGTGATTGCATTCACAATTGCCGCGTTCTTGATTATTCCAAACTGTTATCTGTAATGTTTCGGTCCAGAGATGGCTGTTGGTGTCAGTGAGTGATGTGTGCTCGGAAAGAAACACTCTGATTTGTTTGCAACTACATCCACCGCATATACTATTGCAAAACCAGAAAATTTCCGTGGAGATTTATTTTCAATTACTTTGGTACAGTCGTTCTTCATCAGTCTCCTTGTCTCCACCACCGGCACTGGCGGCAGTACTTGACAGGTGCAAGTACGTCTACTCAAGAGGGGTAAGCGGCAGCGTTCGGCCTAGTCCAGATTGTTATCAACCACCAAACCACACCGTTGCGCTCTCTAGCTCCGGTACAGGAAATATTTACCTAAAATAAAACGCGACCTAAAATTTAACCATGCCATGACACACAGTGTGCAAAATACATTTTCGGATCTGGAAAACTGGTTTACCGAAATTTTCGCGATACCTAACCGTTGATTTTGGGAAATTCCAACAATAATACACCAGCGAAAATTCCCGGTTTTACAGTAGTACTGTGGAGATGCTATTGGTGCCAGGGAATAGTACAGTATACAGTATCGTACTACAGTCAACTTCGCTTATAACGACACTCGGCGGGGCATCAAAAAGGTGTTCTTATTCGCGAAGCGTCGTTATACCCGAAGTCTCATTATATGTATTACAGTTCGAAGGGACTTTGCTCTGGGCATGGAAATGCTGTCGTTATTCGCGAATTGTCGTTATATCCGCAGTCGTTATTAGCGAAGTTGACTGTACTCCATAGTTGGTGCTACAAATGGGACGTATGCATCCATTTCCCGCCGCCGTTAGGTTTTGCGGGGCAAGTCCACTACAACCGTACACTGTGATAACAACTCTGCATAAAAACTCATGAACTTTGTAAGGCCATACTCATAAATGTACTAAAATGGGTTGTACCCACCAAAATGGGGCAATGTGCCCCGAAAAAAGGTCACGTCCATCCTCGATGCATACCTCCCATTGTATTATTTTTGGCCTTATGCCGCTTGAATCCCCTATCTTCAACCATTCATAATATCTCATTGTGGATTTCAATAAAATTTCGTGTGTGACCTTCTGATATCCACCCTTGTCGATTACCGATGATACACATGAGAAAAACCAGATTTGAAAAAATCGAGTGAAGTACCTACTTTTAAGAAATCCATTTTTCATTCACTTTATGTCTCTTTGCGTGTTGAAAATCATACTGTATGGTATTTCTCAAAACTGGCCTGGAGAAGGTTCTCAGCGACGTAGCGGGCCAGTTGCAAATGAACAAATTGTAGACGAGAGGAGCATTCATGCCCAGAAGATACAGCCTGGCAAGTCCTGCCTTTAAAAATACATCCGATTGACATTGTACAACACCATCACTCATATACCATTAGTCATAGTCTTCCTGACAGTGCAGTGCAGTGTAGTACAGTACAGTACAGTACAGTACAGTACAGTACAGTACAGTACAGTGCAGTGCAGTGCAGTACAGTGCAGTGCAGTGCAGTGCAGTGCAGTGCAGTGCAGTGCAGTGCAGTGCAGTGCAGTGCAGTGCAGTGCAGTGCAGTGCAGTGCAGTGCAGTGCAGTGCAGTGCAGTGCAGTGCAGTGCAGTGCAGTGCAGTGCAGCAGGGCATAGCTTAAGGATTTCATTTAGCTTGGACAAATGTCCTTCCGTTTTGAAATCTGTCCGGACATGCCCCGACATGTTCCACAACACATTTTCAGGGTGTTTCTTCTTTTTTTTTAGTAGTACTGAAGTAAATTCACAATGACTCATTATGTGGACGTATCTCACACATTACTATGTACAATTCGCCAATTTATTTGTATTAGAAACTGAACTATTTTACTGACGACAAATGTATGTACAAGAAAGCGTTGCAGTCAAGAATTTTGCGAACGCGATATGCTCCTTGACCTTCGAATTTGCGTCGTGCAATAGCGGCAGCACCATCGTCCATCTCGCACAGTGCCTTCGCAATTGGAGCGAATTCGAGGGCATTTCGAGCGGGACACTCTTGCCTGCGGAAAAGAGTCATTGCTCGTTTATGCATCTCCGTTCCAGCATGATCCTTGAACGCTGATGTTCTCAGGTTCTTGGATCCGGTTATGAAAGCCTCGCTGAAGTTTTTACAACTGCGGACTCTGTCTACAAACTTGATGCACACGGAACACTTAAACATTCTGCTAACAGCCGATCGTTCTTTTGCCGGTCATAAATCAGCCAGGCGGAAAAAGTCAGCTCTGCATCATTGTCCGAGATCCACTTATCGCAAGTAGCGGCCTTCACACCACAGACTTTTTTGCCAGGCGACAAGTCCTCTGAATCTCCCTTTCGCTTTCCAGAAGACGTTCTAAAAGACTATCTGCATTCCAGGTCAGTGAAAGAGTGAAAGATAAAAAAGATGACATATTCCTCTCAAGAGCGAACACCTGCACTGCAGTTCAACCCATCGATTCAGGTGCGAAGTCGACACCATGTACCAAAGGTCGAAAGTGTGAATTGACTGTAACAACCGCGTTGCTACAGGCGGATCAAGTAAATTATGGTGAAGTGTACGCCTGAGGCTACGGTGTAGACGTGTTAGTTGTACGATATGCAAGTCGCAGTTGGCACGAAGCGGCCGAAGAAAGCCCAACTTTGCATAAAAAAGTCGAAAGGTCGCTGCTCTTTTTTTCCTTTTTTGACCGGACACTATGTCCGGTGAAATTGAAAACGTCCGGTCAGTGGCCGAAAATGTCCGGAAAATGTCCGATGTCTGGCCGTTAATCTATGCCCTGGTGCAGTGCAGTACAGTACACTACAGTGCAGTACACTACAGTGCAGTACAGTACAGTACAGTACAGTACAGTACAGTACAGTACAGTACAGTACAGTACAGTACAGTACAGTGCAGTACAGTGCAGTACAGTGCAGTACAGTGCAGTACAGTGCAGTACAGTACAGTACAGTACAGTACAGTACAGTACAGTACAGTACAGTGCAGTACAATGCAATGCAGTACAGTACAGTACAGTACAGTAGAGTGTAGTACAGCACAGTGCAGTGCAATGCAATGCAATGCAGTACAGTGCAGTACAGTACAGTACAGTACAGTGCAATGCAGTAGAGTACAGTGTAGTGCAGTGCAGTGCAGTACAGTACAGTACAGTGCAGCACAGTGCAGTGCGATGCAATGCAGTACAGTACAGTACAGTGCAGTACAGTACAGTACAGTGCAGTACAGTGAAGTACAATGCAATGCAGTGCAATGCAATGCAGTACAGTACAGTACAGTACAGTAGAGTGTAGTACAGTACAGTGCAGCACAGTGCAATGCAATGCAATGCAGTGCAATGCAGTACAGTGCAGTACAGTACAGTACAGTGCAATGCAGTAGAGTACAGTGTAGTGCAGTGCAGTGCAGTGCAATGCACTGTACTGCACTGCACTGCACTGCACTGCAATGCAAAGCAGTGCAGTGCAATGCAATGCAGTGCAATGCAATGCAGTGCAATGCAATGCAGTGCAATGCAATGCAGTGCAATGCAATGCAGTGCAATGTAGAACTTTGCTTGTGGAGTGCGCTGCAGTGCAGTGCCATGCAGAGCGGTGCAGTGCAGTACAACGTAGTGCAGTGCAGTATTCACGTGCAACATAGTGATGTTACCTTGAAATGAGCTTTCTGGTTATTCCAATCCTGACTGTCATCATCATGGAGACTCATCGAGAGACGTTTCAACTCATGGGCGTACAGGGCATCACTAATCACTGCTCTCGTCTTCTCCAACCATTTTCTACTGGAGAGAAACGGATTCCGAAGTGAGCTGCGGGCAGAAAGGAAGATTTTTTTCTAACAAGCATACCGGTATTTGAACAACATCCTGCTGGATACAGTCAAATGAATATTGTAACTAGATGATTAGAGTCTGCGACACATGGCTGGCAGCTTGGAGGTTATGGTCAAAAGTTCAAAACACATACCAATGCACAGGCGCATACACACAAATGTGCATGCCTTGATATTTGTTTGTAGCTACATGTAGATTATGTAGAGAATATCAGTTGTATGGGGATTGCCTAGCCTTGCTATATGCATGAAACACAGTACTATAACAATGACCTAGCCGATTGTCTCTGTTCTATAACAATGACCTAGCCGATTGTCTCTGTGCTATAACAATGACCTAGCCGATTGTCTCTGTGCTATAACAATGACCTAGCCGATTGTCTCTGTGCTATAACAATGACCTAGCCGATTGTCTCTGTGCTATAACAATGACCTAGCCGATTGTCTCTGTTCTATAACAATGACCTAGCCGATTGTCTCTGTTCTATAACAATGACCTAGCCGATTGTCTCTGTTCTATAACAATGACCTAGCCGATTGTCTCTGTGCTATAACAATGACCTAGCCGATTGTCTCTGTTCTATAACAATGACCTAGCCGATTGTCTCTGTTCTATAACAATGACCTAGCCGATTGTCTCTGTTCTATAACAATGACCTAGCCGATTGTCTCTGTTCTATAACAATGACCTAGCCGATTGTCTCTGTTCTATAACAATGACCTAGCCGATTGTCTCTGTTCTATAACAATGACCTAGCCGATTGTCTCTGTTCTATAACAATGACCTAGCCGATTGTCTCTGTTCTATAACAATGACCTAGCCGATTGTCTCTTTTCTATAACAATGACCTAGCCGATTGTCTCTGTTCTATAACAATGACCTAGCCGATTGTCTCTGTTCTATAACAATGACCTAGCCGATTGTCTCTGTTCTATAACAATGACCTAGCCGATTGTCTCTGTTCTATAACAATGACCTAGCCGATTGTCTCTGTTCTATAACAATGACCTAGCCGATTGTCTCTGTTCTATAACAATGACCTAGCCGATTGTCTCTGTTCTATAACAATGACCTAGCCGATTGTCTCTGTGCTATAACAATGACCTAGCCGATTGTCTCTGTGCTATAACAATGACCTAGCCGATTGTCTCTGTGTTATAACAATGACCTAGCCGATTGTCTCTGTTCTTTTCTGCCTTTGTGTACATGCACAATACCGGTAAGTGTTGTAACGGAATCTCAGCCATTCCGTTCCCCGGGACGCAGGACACAAAGGACAAGACTTGTTTGTGTTGACAAGAGAACACAGCCATGAGAGTGCAACTCCTAACTTGATCTGCGATGGACTCATCCACAGCGGAATTGTTGTCACGTTAGTTTTTGGCAGAAGTAAGATCAAGTGCGGATGCCTCTCCGTGCTTCTCGTGAAACTTTGGTTATGATCCGGTCAGGAGGTTTGGGACACATGCATCTACCGACTGTTACTCTCACTTGACTACCGCAGCTACAATATACACGGTCTGCGTACCTTTGGTCTACGGCAGTAGTTTGCTATGCATGATAGCATTATTGAGTCTACAGGCGCAAAAGACTGATAAGTGAAACATCTGGGCTGAGAAATCATCATGAAATGTGCAATCAGGCTCGTACCCAGGGGGGGGGGGGGGGTTACAGGGTTCGGATGAACCCCCTTTCTGTCAGCCGATTGAACGATTTTTTCTTCGTTTTTTCGACTTTTGTTGCCCTGCGCGTCATGCAACCACAAACAGACACAGTGGCCCCAGAGCACAAAGAAGTGACCGTAGACTTAGCTATTGGAACATTCTATCTACACAGAATATCCCGTGACTCTGTGCTTGGGTTAATCAATGATACTGGAAACCCAACTGACACTTGATTGGCTGGCCTGCAGCAGATACTTGCCGGCATACACTAAGAATGTGGCACAATGTAGTTAGTGAATATAATGTCAATGCAGTTGTAGCCTTTATCAGGGAATTATTCTGAGATAAACTGTAAAACGGCTAATTTTAGCGGGTAAAATGGTTAGAGTTTTATGAATCTGGACCAATTCGCGATGAAATATTTCAGCGATCCGAGTTTCGGAGTTTAAAAAGAAGGATGGTTAGTAATTTAAATACCTACATGCAAAATTTCGATTGGCATGGCAAACATTTAGAGAAAACACTCCTTTCGCTGCAACCGCTAAAATATCACCGTCGCTAAAAATTAGCCGTTTAACAGTACTGAGGGAGTTACGAGACTAGTATACATGCCGTACTGATTGTACTGATTGTACTGATTGTACTGGTTAAAATATACACTGTACCTTTGCTTGCTGCTGACACTGGTGAAAAACTCCTCTACATGATGCTGACAGTACACACACAGACTCCAGCAATAGAAGAGAGTGCGTGCGCTGCTTGATTTGGAAGAACTTTCCATTACCTACACACACACACACACACACACACACACACACACACACACACACACACACACACACACACACACACACACACACACACACACACACACACACACACACACACACACACACACACACACACACACACACACACACACACACACACACACACACACACACACACACACACACACACACACACACACACACACACACACACACACACACACACACACACACACACACACACACACACACACACACACACACACACACACACACACACACACACACACACACACACACACACACACACACACACACACACACACACACACACACACACACACACACACACACACACACACACACACACACACACACACACACACACACACACACACACACACACACACACACACACACACACACACACACACACACACACACACACACACACACACACACACACACACACACACACACACACACACACACACACACACACACACACACACACACACACACACACACACACACACACACACACACACACACACACACACACACACACACACACACACACACACACACACACACACACACACACACACACACACACACACACACACACACACACACACACACACACACACACACACACACACACACACACACACACACACACACACACACACACACACACACACACACACACACACACACACACACACACACACACACACACACACACACACACACACACACACACACACACACACACACACACACACACACACACACACACACACACACACACACACACACACACACACACACACACACACACACACACACACACACACACACACACACACACACACACACACACACACACACACACACACACACACACACACACACACACACACACACACACACACACACACACACACACACACACACACACACACACACACACACACACACACACACACACACACACACACACACACACACACACACACACACACACACACACACACACACACACACACACACACACACACACACACACACACACACACACACACACACACACACACACACACACACACACACACACACACACACACACACACACACACACACACACACACACACACACACACACACACACACACACACACACACACACACACACACACACACACACACACACACACACACACACACACACACACACACACACACACACACACACACACACACACACACACACACACACACACACACACACACACACACACACACACACACACACACACACACACACACACACACACACACACACACACACACACACACACACACACACACACACACACACACACACACACATGCAGACACACAGACACACAGACACACATACACACACATACACACACACGCGCGCGCGCACCGACACACACACACACACACACGCACGCGCGCACCGACACACACACACACATATCAGATCACATGTATGCAAGTTGATAGACTCGTTTTGTTAAAATCTCATCGTAATTGTCATAGTCAGCCAGCAAGAGTGTGTAGTGCCTTGCCATTACAGGCTAGGCTGGACTCATGTACATCAGGCAGTCATGCACTGGATTCAATGTACATCAGGTAGTCATGTACTGGATTCAATGTACATCAGGTAGTCATGCACTGGATTCAATGTACATCAGGCAGTCATGTACTGGATTCAATGTACATCAGGTAGTCATGCACTGGATTCAATGTACATCAGGTAGTCATGTACTGGATCATGGCCAGCAATCGAGGACATCTGAGTTGTAATTCTTGTACTCCTCCGAGGTGTGAATTTTGGCGTGCTGGGCCAAGCACAAGGAAGCCATCTGCAAAAAAACTGCAGAAAATGGTTGTTGTTTGATCCTTTGGTGTAATCTTTGTTTCTAGTCGAAGCTAGTTGCTGTTTGGAGCAGAAACGCTGAAATTGACTATTTTCTGCATGTACTCATACATGTACTCATGTACTCAGGCATGCAGTCTTACTCGTATTTTAGCTCTTTTTCTGGAATGGATGCTGCTCTGCGCCCCTTGGTGAACATTTCCTGCGCTCGTGGAGCAGCTGAAAAGGACCACTGGTATGTCTAGTTCCTGGTTTGAAAGTGGAGAGTCGACTTTTGTGCCTTGAAAAAGGAGTAGAGAGCGATAAAGGTACGTCTGTGGCTTATTTTTGAGTGCTCCTCGTACATTTTTGATCGTGATAGAAATTCTCAGACCAAAGTCAGACCAAAGTCAGCGCGATGATGGCCGTACAGTTTTCTTGTGGATTTTTTAGTTGTTTCATCTCGTATCTATGTCAGTATCGTGATGGTGAAGTGGAGAGGGTGATTTTCTTCCTCTAGGCTTCGTTCCGCCGACTTTGCTTCGTCCTCGTTGAAAAGTGATCCTGAAAAAAAGGTCGATTCGCAAAATTATGTTGATTTTGAATGTACGTGATGACACACGATTGCTGGCTATGTTCAATGTACATCAGGTGGTCATGTACTGGATTCAATGTACATCAGGTGGTCATGTACTGGATTCAATGTACATCAGGTAGTCATGCACTGGATTCAATGTACATCAGGTAGTCATGTACTGGACTCATGTACATCAGGTAGTCATGCACTGGATTCAATGTACATCAGGTAGTCATGCACTGGGTTCAATGTACATCAGGTAGTCATGCACTGACATCCAAAACACTGTACATGTCGAAGCTGAGTGCTTCCTCAATACAGACTACAGACTACAGTATTATCCTATGTGTGCTATACATGTACAGCCTTACAACAAGAAACTATCACATTAGCAATGAATCCTATCATCACCAATGTTACCCAGCAAGACACGCACCTCTTTGACGTGTTTCATGACTTCAACAACTGCTGCGTCCACGTGCTCTGTAAATGCTGCCTTTGGCTTCCAGACTGTAAAGGTGTTCTCCAACTGAACAGTACTTAGCTTGAGATAGGACTTGCACTCAGAGAAGAATGCAATGGCAGACTGGAATAATGGAATAATGACAAGAGAACACACAAATAATGCAAGAAAATCCGAAAAATACTTATAGCTATTGTTTGTGCAGCGGTACACTGTACCTAGCTTAAAAGACCACCTGCCTTCAGTGACCTTTTGTCACGCATGGACAGCTCTGCATAGAAAGTGCAACTTTTTCGGCAAATACCTGCCGTGTGTGCGACCATTGCCTTTTCAGAACGGTTTGACATCAAAAACTTTGATTGGAAAATAACTCCAGAGAAAAATCAGTTTCACTGCACCTATCATCTGTGCATACATACATACTCGTACAAGTGTGTGTACAGTCCACTTCGCTAATAACGACTGCGGATATAACGACAATTCGCGAATAATGACATAATTTTCATGCCCAGAGCAAAGTCCCATCCAACTGTGACACATATAATGAGACTTCGGGTATAACGACACTTCGCGAATAAGGACACTCTTCTGATGCCCCGCCGCCGAGTGTTGTTATAAGCGAAGTTGACTGTAACTAACACATTAAACCAGGAATAGGAGAAATGCAGCAAAATTGAGAATGCTATTCAACCATCACATAAGCCACTTACCGCCGACAGACAATCAGCTGATGGTCTCAAGGCTGTATCCGGACCTGCACAGAATATCAAAAGTAAAATGAAAATAACATTTGCTCATGTGCACGTGCATGCACAGGCACACACACCCATTCTCTAAATGAAAAGCTGCATAACCAACAAGTCGGATTTTATTAGCTGTCCCAATGTATGTGTGCGCACCTTTCGTCTTTTTCAGCAAAATGCCCCCCCCCCCCCCCCCCACACCACCACACACACCGAGACCCAGGCCAGACATGACTTGAAATAAAACAAATAAATCATCAGTTCCAGTCCCCCCTCCCCAAAAAAACAATTGGCGCATAAACAGTTACTTACTGAAAGATAACTCATCTGGGGAAAGTTTCTTCAGTTGCTCCACTTCTTGACTGAGCCAACTGTGTCCGCTATCTTTCACAGACCTGGCCAGCAGCTGTCCCAGCATATCGCCATGTTTCACCAACTCTGCACTCCATTTCCAACGTTCCCGGGAATGACGAAGAGTTGCGCCGCCAATGCCTGATGTTCCCATTGCTGTGCCTGCTGCAGTTGTCATGCCAACTGATTCCTGCAGCTCAGCTTCCTGCCCAGTTGCCATGGAAATGACGTGATTGTCGACATCTTCATCTTCTTCGATCAGAGAAGATTCCGCGTTCATAAAGTTTGCTGGCCTTCCAAACTGTTGATTCAGGGTGCGCTGAAGATTGGGTCGTGGTGATGCTGGTTTCCTGGAATCTCGACCATTAGACCCGTCGGTTCTATTCAACTGTTGTCCGTGATCTTCAAGTAGACGATGTAACTGCTGTACATATCCTTCGATGTGTCCTGCCAGTTTGCAGAAAGTCTGAAAGTTTCCAGTGTCCCAGTTGCCTTGACGTTGTGATGTTGTGACGAATGGAGACGCTGTAGCTGCAGTGCTGGAATGGTTAGCGGCGTTGGGCTGCGTGTTCGCTGCGGTATCTCCGTCTTCACTTGCTAGAGTTTGAAGAATAGCGGAGAGTTCCTTCATGACATCGGCACCATGGATACTCACAAGCATATCCAGAGCTGGCTTAGTCGCAAGCAGGGTAGCAACGGTCAAGTCAAGATGAATTGTCTTCATCAGATAGTCCAATGTGCAGATGATGCGTTCCATTCGTTGCTGTGTAGTTGCTGCTGCAGCAGTTGAAAGTTGAGCTATTCTAGCTTGTCGGACCTGTACCCAGCGATGCCAGACTAGTTCTGGTGTGGCAATGATACTGTAGAGTTGGATCATGTGATTACAGAACTGTGTTTGAACAGTACTGGGTGCATCCAGCAGTGCCTATAGTAACACAAGCACATGCACACACATACACGCGCACACACATGCACACACACACACACACACACACACACACACACACACACACACACACATGCACACACGCACACACACATTGAGACAGTTTGAACGTGCAAAGCTTTACCCCTCCCTTTCCCCATTAAGGCAGAATAATTGTAGGTTTTACAACGATAAGGGGAAAACTGCGCCGACTGTTCTGGCCTCAGGTCAGAGCAAGCAGAACATGTACTGGTCGATCCTGACCAGGTTCAGTCAAAACAAAACACATTGCTCAGCAGAACATGTTCTGGTCGATCCAGACCAGGTGCAGTCAAAAGAAAACACATTGCTCAGCCAGGTCTCGTTCTAGAGCCGACCTGGTGTCACTAATGTAACAAATGTGGAGATACAGATCTATATGTGGAGATACAGATCTACCGTATTTCCACAAATAGTAGGCCGGTCAACTATTTTTTCAACCCCGTCCTAACCCGGCCTTATAATCGATGACGGTCTTGTATTCGAGGACGGTCTTTTATTCGTTCAACCCAGTTTGACCCCGGTCTTCTATTTCTCGCCACACAGTTTTACCCCCCGTTCTTCCATTTTCTTCTACACAGTCTGAGCACGGTCTTCAATTTTTTCCCACAGTTTGAGCACGGTCTTCTATTTTTAACACAAGAACAAAGACTCATTTAGTAGGCCCGGTCTTCTAATCAGAGGCGGTCATTTATTTTTTCAATCGCCCCTGCCCCGGCCTTGTATACGAGGAAGGCGTTGTATACGAGGACGGCCTTTTATTTGCGGAAAAACGGTATATGTATATTACAGTATGAGTACTGTAAACCTCCTTGGCCGGATTTGTGCTGCTATACTATACACCAGGGAGTCATAACGTACAAGGAGAGCATGGATCCCTGCGATCAGCTAAAATGATACACGCTTTGTTCAAGGGATGCCCGTTGTAGTCGCTTTGGGGCAGGGCAATGTATGCACACCCGCATGCACGGCATCGCTAGTCTCAGGAGCCGTGCTTGGGATCAGTAGATCAACACGGCATCGCTAGTCTCAGGGGCCGTGCTTGGGATCAGTAGATCAACACGGCATCGCTAGTCTCAGGAGCCGTGCTTGGGATCAGTAGATCAACACGGCATCGCTAGTCTCAGGAGCCGTGCTTGGGATCAGTAGATCAACACGGCATCGCTAGTCTCAGGAGCCGTGCTTGGGATCAGTAGATCAACACGGCATCGCTAGTCTCAGAGGCAGTGCTTGGGATCAGTAGATCAACACGGCATCGCTAGTCTCAGAAGCCGTGCTTGGGATCAGTAGATCAACACGGCATCGCTAGTCTCAGGAGCCGTGCTTGGGATCAGTAGATCCACACGGCATCGCTAGTCTCAGGAGCCGTGCTTGGGATCAGTAGATCAACACGGCATAGCTAGTCTCAGGAGCCGTGCTTGGGATCAGTAGATCAACACGGCATCGCTAGTCTCAGGAGCCGTGCTTGGGATCAGTAGATCAACACGGCATCGCTAGTCTCAGGGCCAGTGCTTGGGATCAGTAGATCAACACGGCATCGCTAGTCTCAGGGGCCGTGCTTGGGATCAGTAGATCAACACGGCATCGCTAGTCTCAGGGGCAGTGCTTGGGATCAGTAGATCAACATGGCATCGCTAGTCTCAGGGGCAGTGCTTGGGATCAGTAGATCAACACGACATCGCTAGTCTCAAGGGCCGTGCTTGGGATCAGTAGATCAAGATCGCAACCATGATAGTAAAGTTGCATAGACCACAGTTCACAAAGAACTTCAAAAGCTGGATCAAAACACACATAGTATCGGATAGTATTATCTCGTACCATCTCCCCAGTAACTATGACTCCCTCCCTGGACCGTGGTATGCAGTGTGTGTTATGAGTACACCCTAGTTCCTATGACTCCCTCCCTGGACCGTGGCATACAGTGTGTGTTACGCGTATAGTGATTACTGTTAGGTACCTCCTCCCATCCTCCTGTATATTCAGGGGCGTAGGAGGGGTTTTGGAAGTGGTAAGACCGAAGGCCGTTTTGGAGGGGGGTGGGGGGACCTCCCCCGCGGGAAAATTTTGTAAAAAAGACACAAAATCCTGCGTTCTGGGACTGTTCAGTGTGCAGTCGAGTCGAGTACAGTACACTCGAACGCCCCTTATCCGGACGCCTCAGATACGGGCACGTCTCTCTACCGGGCACCTTCAGCTTGAGTTCCTATAGCACAAATGCTTCGAATTTGAGGGTTTCGAACTTTTTTCCGTATGTGGATCTATAATGCGCTGAAAAAGGGTGAAGAAGAAGCTAGAGTTCCCGCGTTTGAGCTGATGGATCACGTGTGGAGTAGTTTTCCTTACGAAAATTTGTTTTTCAAATTTTAGTAAAACTACGTTTTGAAAATGCTATCTCGAGCAAAGGAAAACCCGATTTCGGGTTGGTATACATGTGTGGATTACCTATGTAATCCACACATTTTTATCAATGGGTTCCTTTTGTATCCTGAACATGTGCAATATGTGCAATATGGCCCAAATAAACTTCTTCAAAAATGATATGATACATGGTAGATGAGTTATCCTGAGATACGGACACATCTGAGATACGGGCAATGCCCGGTACCAAGGTGTCCGGATAAGAGACGTACGAGTGTACTCAGTACGACTGCAGCTATCTAGATGCATGGCAGATCTACGAGTACAAGTCTAGAAAAAGGTCAAAGAGTATGATGCGCATATGCATCGATGGATCCTGATTTTTTTATTACGGTTTTGCACATTCCAGACGGACCACACTTTTCGAAAGGTGGTACGGCCATGGTCGTACCAGTCGTAGCGGGTGCTACGCCCCTCATATTACCTCCTCCCGTCCTCCTGTATATTTCCTCCTGCAACCTTTTCCAAGCTGGCCTGCAAGCACCCCGTACCCCGTACTTACCCTCACCTACTCACCTTTTTTCCATTGACCTGGGTAGCTACTTGCACGCCCATATTTGCCATAGCTACCCAGGCCTTTTATCTTGCACTCGTTCTCTCAAACTCTCTCTCTCTCTCTCTTTCTCTTTCATAATGTAGTCGTTCGTCTTTCTCTCCGTCTCTCCATCTCCCTAATAAATGTCTTCGTACCCCCTCCTTGTTCCATGTCCGTTGTGTCTGGGATGAGGACTTTTTTTGTGCACAGTGCATACATACGCAGCCTGGCCATACTTACATCTAATTCAGACATGAGAGTGTTGTCCAAGAGCAGACACACTTCCTTCCAGAGTCTATAGAGATGCTCTTCCTCAGTGTCGAAGAATGAATCGACCGACGCAATCGATAGTCTCCTGCCGAGTGTTGTCTTAGCCGCATCGTGATCATCACAATCACCATTATTGGCAGCAGCAGCAGCTGATGATGGTAACATGGTGGATATCTCGTCATGACTATGGATGACCAAACCTGGCTTGACTTTCCAACCCGCACAGTCTCGGAGCTGTGTCAGCTCTGTCAAGACCTGCAAGTGAAATCCAACATCCTTGTTGGCCTTCAACTTCTTTGTCTGTAGAAACAGATCAAAGACAAGAGTATAGTTCCCTTAGTAAGTCTATCTGCTAGTAATTGCACTGATATGCGCACCAGTGTGCAGTGCAAGTAGTATGCCATGATTGTCATTAATCACCATGCCATGACTATCACCCACGCAACCAGTACACATACAGAAATAAACGTAACACATTGACAATAAAACCCAAAAAATGGTCTCAGGAGCTTCATACACGGTAAGATCAGTATGACCATGGTCGTACCACTTTTTGTCCAGAATGCTCCGCCTAATTTATCCCAAGAAGCAAAAAAGAGCTCTAAAACGTGCCCTGTTGGCCGAAAAATCCAAAATATTTCCTCGGAGGATCCCCGTATGAGCAACAGTTTTCACTTGGCAAGCACCCGTACAGTTGGCCAATGAACTCTGACCCCACGGACACATAAGCATGTTGGCACTCAAGGAATTTGATGTTACATGTGGGCCTGAACAGATGGGGGGGGGCAGTATGCCAAAGGGCGAGGTAAGGGGTTCACTAGCCCCAACTTGGTCACCAGGGGACCTTAGCACCTGGGGAAATCACAAAAACGAGTGGAAAGTGAAATGAGTCTTGCTTCCAGACTGACCGTTCCAGTTACCCAAAGGGGAAGGGCCAGTTCATACAGACTCACTCACAGCATTGCTTTCGCAGACAATTTTCAGAGTCAGCAGGTATCAGCCACGATCATGCTTGTGTGTTGCATCATCTGAGACCACCAATCGCTTACAAGTTCCCCAAAAAATCATGGTTCGCGTGAAACTCGGCTAAGGTGAGGTCCAAATCAGGAGTCAAAATTCACATCGTTCCGGGTACTGCTGTAACCATGTATCGGAGAAAATGATATGAAAGCTCTACCAATCGCTGGTGTTACTACTATACAACTGTGAGACAAGGGGTCCAACTAAGGCCAACTCAGGAACCTGATTAGAGTGTGCTATCCTGCCATCATCAACGGCAGACAGTTATATCCAAGATGTAACGCTCAGCCACTCTCGAAACTTGTGGCAAGAGACCATCGTCTACACCGCATGGGTCACGCGATGAGGATGAATGAGAAATGTGCTCTCCGTCTCGCGATGTCGTGCTACGTCTCCTCTGATTCAAACGGCGGAAGTGGACCTTCAGCTACTAATCTTGTCACATCTCTCGGAGACAACTTGGTCAGCCACAGCATTCCCGGCACTAAAGAAGTTTGCGCGTTTCTTGACTCAATACGATCCTTACCAACCGGCAAACCGAAAAGGAAATCAGACTTTGTACACAGGTCTTAGAGTTATAATTTATATTTAGCTGATGCATTGTTTTTGTTTTTATTATTACTGCTGCTAGAATGGAGACGGAAGCGGGCCTGGCTTGAATCCACCCTTTCTGGCTCTGTACGCAAGCTGTATTATTACAATTATGAAGAATAAAACTGTTACCATGACAACATACTAGTGTGGATAGCCATTCCTGAATATCCGTGAGTGACGCTTTGCAGAGATGACTTTCATCCCAACACATCCTTCTTGCCCTGCTCAGAAGCTCAAGAAGACCCTTTGAGGCGTCCGCAGCAGGTGTCTTCGTCTTCTCCTCGGTTTCTCCACCATTCAATGTTTGTTTTGAAGTGACACTTTGACTCTTGTCATTCGTCTCCTCTCCTCCTGCATTGGACACACCATCATCAGCTCCAGTGTCACTGGTGGTTGCACTGGTACTGTTACTGGTGGTGGTAGTGGTGGTGGTGGCTGTTGCAGGTCCGAGGTGGCCATTATCGTCTAGGTACTGCTGTAACTTTACATTCAGTTTAGACAGAGACTCTGCATACCTGTGTGGGTGCAATCAGACAATCAGTGTGACACATAATACACACATACACATACATACACCCACCACCCACACACACACACACACACACATACACACACACACACACACACACACACACACACATACACACACACACATACATACAGACATACATACACACACATACACAGATTGGGCACCAGGATATACAGGGAACTATCTAGCATCTATATGTATTCCAAGTGTCATAACAATCTAGGTACTACTCCCTACACTAATGATCATGTCATGATCACTAATGATCATGTCATGATCATTAGTGTAGGGAGTAGATCCATTTAGGGGTGGTCGCAAAGTTCTTGTCGTCCCTGAGAAAGAAACATCATTCATTGAGGGAGAGCCTAAATTTCAAGTCGACTGGCACTGTCACATACAAGTATAAATGAACATGCATGCGATTCACGTTGTCCAGCATAGCATGTTGTGTTCATTTCGGAGGGACTGGGGGTCCGAGTACGAAATGAATGATGGTTCGTCTCAGGGACGACTAAAGGGCTGAGCTGCCGTGGATATTCGCACCACTGTCCAAAGACTCGGACCACCTGCCATGCAGCCTCTCATATCACATACCAGGAGTAACCTGTTACCAAAATGTTGTACAATATGCGGTATACATGGAGGCATTAGGCATATGCACATGCATATGCATACATGTATGTGTGTGTACTGTACCAGTTCAATCACCGTCACAATCTCAAACAAGGCACACGATTTTGCATTTCACCGAGAACAATTACATGTACATTCGGGTAACTCAAGAAACGTGGTTACTAGTAGTATGCGGCCATTCCTTCTCTCCCTTCACCCTGTTCATCGTAGTCCTCCCCCCCCCCCCCCTTCCCAATCTGTACTCTCTTGTACCATCATCCTTCAATGCGACGGACCCCACGATAGGCGGTCAGCCTTTGGGTCATCCTAATAAAGTTATTATTATTATTATTATTATTATTCTGTACTAGGGGGGGGGGGGGTAAAAGGTGGATATGTGATGGCAGGGTAACTACACGTTGTGCCCACTAAAGTAAGTGGAATTCTTTGCAAATCACTCAACTGTCAGCTTGCAAAATGTTCACTTCTTACAGTCAGAACTCCCCGGGAAAAAGTACTAGTAGCCAGCATGTCCCCAAGGTATCCATGGTAACTGTAGGTTCAGCTGGGGTTGGATGGCGAGTATTTCATAACTACCAACCTTTGTGAGCACAAGGTCGGGATAACTAGCCGCTGAATAGACTAAATTTGGGGGAAGTGATCACCAGAGTAATGCCAAGACCACGCCACGCAAATGTTCTTCACTGAATGCAGCAAAATTCCTATCGACTGTACATAATTATAATCATGCACATTAATGTACCCGTGAGTTTCACAGCAACGCAGCATTGTCAGCAGGGTTCTAGCCAAAGGAGGGGGCGCTGCAACTCCCCCTCCCCCCCCCCCCCCCACTTCCATTGAGTGCCCTCCTGTGAAAAAGTGCCCCCCCCCCCCACACTCATTTGTCGATTCTTGTTTTATTCATTCCATTCAACGGAAATGCAGTCCATGTTCAGTAACAGAGGGGTCATAAATGCACATTTGTCTGGGCCATGCGGCGAATTTGGGGATTCGCCCCCCCCCCTCCCCGAACGTTGCATTTTGCATTGCGGGACAATTATTTTGGTTACGAGGTAACTGTTTCCCCTGCCCGCCCCCTATTATTTTTATCTGGCTAGAACCCTGGTCGGTACACATTTGGAATGACAACTTACTCAGATTTCTTGTTCGCTAATTGTTCGTTGATTAGCTTCAGGTGCTCTTTGAGAGCATCTCGTGAACAACCAGACATTGGGTACCACCGCCTTCAGCTCCGTCGACCGACGCACTAGCTCTCGATTATAAGTAAAACTGGTAGCAAACAGTGGTTACGAAGACTTTCTTCTCGTGCAACTGGGTACAAAAGCCGAGTGGCTAGTGCGCCCGTTGCATTCTGCTCCTCCACAATTACTGAGCCGCGTAACTAATATCCACTAAAACACAGCTTCTCACTGAATAATATCAAAGAAATTCCTCTCTAGCGGTGGAAGCGGACATTTATTACCTAGTGTCTGCTGCCTGTAGCCCACACCCAGTACCTGGCTGTTTCATTTAGCGGTGCAACCTGGGTAAGTACTTGGGTCAGGACAAAACAGATATTCTTTGCATAGCTAGGATCTAGGAGCGCAAGCATAAAGTAACAGTTAGCAGAATATTTTTAGCAATTAAAATTGCTCTTTGAAACTGAACTCCTACTGACTCTGTCAGTTCCGCAAACTGCTACAAGTAATCTTACCTGCACTCGGCAGACTGTCTAAGTAAGAGTAAGACTGCAGCGCTAGCGATACAAACGTAACTGTCATGTGTGCAGTGCAGCGTCTAGAGCGAAGCTTCGAAGGTCAGTGCAAGTCATCCAAACAAATACCGTCATTCCATCGCTGGGGAACAGTAGTCATGCCAGCGCCTTCAGCCTGGCCTACGACTTACGACTAGTGAGTAGTGTCGACTACGACTGTAGTGTAGAGGACGAGTAGGGCCTACACTACACTACAGCCTGGGAATACGACTCCCAGACTGTCAGTCTGTATCTCATGTGCAGCGCTGACTCTGCCGAAGCAAAGCAGTGAGTACTAGAGTAGAGTAGAGTGGTCAAACTAAACTCCAGACTCACCCTGCTGTGACCACGCTCACGGGGGTACCACACAGCGCTGAAAGAAGACCCGAGTCTGAAGCCGTGAGGCAGGCAAGGCAGAGATAGCGAGGCCCACATTAGGCCCATATATTGGGCCATAGCACTATTTTTCAGGTGCTCCGTCCAAATGAGCATGGGATACTTGACTGGAAATAAATAATGCAGCGAATAGAATTTTTCCGTCTTTGACCACTAACTTGGTGGTGGGTCTGATCTACTCACCTCCTACCGCTTTAGGAGCTGCATCTGCGGCTTTGATCCTTGAGGCTGGACTGGCGGTGTTGCTATGGATGCGGAAAGCTCAGTCCGGCTGAGTATGCACCAGGGAGTCGTAATATTTTACGCCTCCCTGGTGTCTACAACGCGAACCGCGGTTAAATTATTTTTGTAAGTGTACCCAATCCTGTCAGTACACCCAACTTGCAACACACGCAACACACGCAACACACTGATGCCACAATGATACCACCTTTACAGGATTAAATGTGCAATTAAATTTCCACATTCTGGTAACACAATTACAAGCGCATGCGCCTAAAAGCGAGACCATTCGACCTGCAAAACCACAAATACGGCAATAACTCGCGAATAATCGTGTGGGCTTAAATGTGGGTCATTACAGGTGTGTGCACTGACTAGAATGGCAGCAGCAGCATCAGTAACAACAATGGAAATAGCAAGAGTACCGTCCTCTATGATAGACTTGTTAAAGCGGTATTAGAATACGAGTCCAGTATTCTACAAAGCAACTGTTTCAGTTTCGTCTTCCTGTCCACCATTTTCCACCAGTGTTGTAAAAAAAGGAAACGTCAACAGTAGATCAACAGTGGATCAATATTGGATCAATAGTGGATCAGCAGCGGAAAACACAGTGAATCAGCAACATGTAAAAAACGAACTAGAGAAACTAGTAAACTCAACACAAGACGACTGGTGTATCTAAAAAGTATAAGAGTTGTTTGATGTCTTACGTGTCCTCCTCAGTGAAGACAATGTGATTGCTGGATGACTTCTGTGCAGCTTTGCGAGCAGCAATTTTCTCCACGGCCTTGCCAGCAGCTTGCTGTTCATGTGCTAATTGTGTGAGTTGACCAGACAGACGTTGCTTGCCCCTTCGACATCGCTTCGGCTGTGCTGAACGCTTTTCTCTCCTGTTCTCCTCTAACTGTTTCCAGTAGACTAGCTCTTCTTTGCCATGAAGCAAGAAGGCGGTTGATGGCATTCTCATACTTTGCGTACGACTATTGTGAGACACCAGGTGGGTGAGTAACTTTGAAGTTTCCTCGGCAGATTCACAGCGCACATACGCAGTGTGAGAATTAGGCTTGAAATCAACAAACTTAATTCCCGGAGTAAACTGCGAGTGAGCACGCTTGAGCAGAGCGGCGGTCCACACGCTAGTGTTAACTGTCCTATCCCATTCAACGCGTATTACGGTAGACGCTACAAAGTCTTCACTTGGGGGCCTGGACACAGACGTAGCCGACGCTGATGTTGACACGCCGGACCCTGCAGTTGTTGGTTTCGCTCCTCCTGCCACTGCTGCCGTCGCTGCCGTTGGTGCTGTTCTTGTCGGTGTGGCTGCTGCTGTCACTGTCTCAGCTGTTACTGATGCTGATGATGCTGCTGGTGCTGGTGAAGCCTCGCTTTCCACGATGAAAGAGTCATCAGCTGCACTATCATCCGCTGTACTGGAGTCAAAACATTCAGATTCAGTAATACTGTCAGCCTGACTGCCGGTATCATCTAGACTGGTAGTACTCTCAACAGGTGGTATACGACTGCTGCACCGTAACTCAGCTTGAGACTCTCTCTGACGACGGAGATATTCCTTAGCAGCAACCTGCTGCTGCTGTACAAGTGATTTATACTCTTCTTTCAGCTCCTGCCATCTTGGCTTGGCCATCACACTCGGTTTCCAGTCACCAAACGTATCCTTGATCAGCTTCACTTTACTCTTCTTACGCCAATGACTGCGTGTTCGCTTCTTTCTCTTTTGCTCTGAACCATCACCATCACCATCAGCAGCATCACCATCACCATCACCATCAGCATCAGCATCAGCATCAGCATCAGCAGCATTACCAGTTGCAACACTGTCGGCCTTGTCAGAATGATCTACTTTCAACTGCTCGTCCTGCTTCTGACGACCCGGAGCAGGTCGACTCTCATCTTCCTCATCTGATTCCACTTCAGCGTGAGACCGCTTGCATGGTTTCACATCCGGCAAATCATCAGCAGAGCTCTCTGCAGCTTGTTCGTCATCATCTGCTGTCTTTGCAGGCGCAATGCGTTTCGGGCACGGCGGCATTGAACGAGTCTCATCATCGTCGTTATCAGATTCCACTTCAGCATGTGAACGTTTGTTCGTCTTCACTGTGGTCTCCTCATGGTCTGAATCGTGTTTCTTCTCCTCTTTTGTTGACTTGGTTGTCGTAGCAACAGCAGATGCATCACCAGTGAAGTAGCTGAGAGCAGCCGTGGCAGATTCCGTGTCAGTGAACTCGACAAACGCAAACCCCTTCAATGTACTCTTTGTTTTGAACTTCGGTAAGCTGACATGAGCTACATGGCCGAACAGCGCAAAGCACTTCCGTATCATATCATGATCTACATTGTCGGGAAGCTGCTCAATATACAACGTCCTCTCATCCAAGTCACTGGGTGGTGGTGGGAGAGGTTCCTTGCGACGTACTGATCTACCATTGTCAGACACCTCCAGTAGCGGTGAACACATCTTAGCAGCATGGGACACCAGATTCAAGTCTCTCGTGATTGACTGCATCTTTGCAAAGGATCCAATCAAACCAATTGCGATGAAACCGTCCGTAGACTCAGCCATTTTCTGACGCAGAAACTTATCTTTCCATAAATTAGAATCACTGAAGTAGAACTTCAGCTGGCTCACTAATTTGTTCAGTATCTGCGACTTGCTCTTTCTGGGGTGTTTCTTGCCAGAACCAGTTCCTGACTTATGAGTATTCACTCGAGGTGCCTTCACCTCCTTGGATTCCTCGGGGGAATTCGCCATTGCTACAATTGCCACACCAGAAACAGCCTGCCTAATAGCCGACTAAAACTGCAAACGTTTAACCTGACAAACAAGAGTCAGTCAACCATCGATAAACTAGTTTTTCTTTCTCTCCCTCTCACTCCAGATTTACCAACATTCGAATATTCAAGACTACTTTTGTAGTCAAAATCACACAAGAGGTCACTGTGACGTCGTTGACATCAACTCAAAGTCAAACTACTTGATCGACTTCTTCAAAAAATTAATTCCCAGTCGAGTCAGCTATATCAGTCCTGCAGGCCTGCTGATCCTCTTCTGCCAGTCATTTTCATGTTGTTGTTTCTTGGTCATCGAAGATCTTGGTGTTTTCCTAGTATCTTACCTTCGGAATCAGAAGCAGTTTACCAGTGGAGATCTCTTGTGCAAACAAAACTCCTGATTTTACTGAAACGTAACACTGTGATCACGACGCCAGCACAGGGACTTGCTTGGTGACAATTCTATCACCTCAGCTTTGTTTCAACATGGCAGGTGCAGGGAGAAAAGGTAAGCATATAACGGCCATGATCAACTAGTCGATGTTGTAGGTAAACCAGTAATAATTTAGATGTACTATTATGTTGGTTTGACAGCATGAAACAAGGTGGAGGACATCGTGTTGGGAATAGATTAGGTTTACAGTAAAACCTGGTTTAAGCGACCACGCCACGGTGCTAGCAAAAGCGGTCGTTAAAGCCAGGTGGTATTTAGAACCAAGTCCCGTAATAGGGAGGTTTCGCTCTACGTAATTACGTATGAAAATCCGTATGTCGTACCCGCCGGGGAGCGAGGGCAACTTTCATACTTAAATCTCTACGGATCTCCGTAGGAAAGCTCTTTCCTACGTTGGGTCCTCCGTAGGACTTTTTGAAATACTTTTCGCATTTTCCGCATTTGTCCATGGCAACGTTCAAGCCGCGCGAAACACAAGGTACACACACCGTACACCACGTGCGAAACGAAATGGAAAATGCGGTTTCGGTTCACGGTGCATGCGGTGGGCGCATGCAGCCAACGCGTCTCCAAAGCAACAACGCATGTTTAGCAGTCGTGGAGAAATCATGTAGAGCGAAACTGAACAGCTCTGATTCTTACGGATGAAAATTCCGTGCAGCTCCTACGTTATTTTCATACGGAATTCCGTAGAGCGAAACCTCCCTATTATGGGATTATATTCGTGGTATATCGGATTATGCATACATGTGCATGATTGTACTTCCATGTACTCATATTGGCAGGTGTGGAGCATAGAATACTCTCGTGCAGGCAAAGCACACCTCACTGGAGTGCATGCAGCGCATTCTGCACTATCACTTGTCACTTCAGTTGACTGCATCCACTTGCTTCAGAGCGCACTTCAACCCTGTTCCAGACAACTCTGCCAGCCAAGATGGCACTTTTGGTTAGATTTGGTCGCTGTGGGCAGGTCCAGTATGGCACTTGGTACACTAAAAGTCGGTCGCTGGTCGCACAAGGCAGGTGGTCGCTGTATCCGGTGCAGTTTCTGTATAGAACTGTCCGTGCATGGAAAAACGGTGGTTAAGAGCAGGTGGTCGCTAAAGACAGAGGTCGCTTACACCAGGTTTTACAGAGGTCGCTTACACCAGGTTTTACTGAGGTCGCTTACACCAGGTTATACTGTATGATACTGTATCTAATACTAGTAGTGTGCTAGTGTTGGATTATCTAATACTAGTAGTGTGCTAGTGTTGGATTATCTAATACTAGTAGTGTGCTAGTGTTGGATTATCTAATAGTAATACCATGACATTGTACTATTTTGTAGGAGACTGTTTTTTTGTGTGGCCCTTTGAACACTGATAACTTGTAGGGCTGAAACGATCATCCATTTAGCCCAATCGATTACTCTTTATCATAACGATCGATTATTCGATTATAATCTTTAAGAGGCCGCACCTGGAATATGTACGTGGAATGGCCAAAAGTGGAAATATGCACAAAATGTTGCACAAAAAATTGTAGACCGGACGCGACCTTGACCTTCGAGCTTCATGCTCCAGCTTCGTTGTACTACACTAGGACTGTACTCGATGTTTGAACTCGCGCTGCATGCACTGCGCTTACTATGTCCTGAGCGGCTGCGATGCAGCGCGTGCAGTGTGTAGTACTGTGTACTATATACTCTGCGCTGCATGAACTGCGCGTACAAGAAATTTAAAATTTTAAAAACACAAAATAATCGTAATCGGTAATCTAAACGATTGCTCGATCGTTACAGTTATCAAACGAGTACTCGATTATTCGGTATAATCGTTTCAGCCCTACTGATAGACACATTGTATTGATCATGTGTTCATCATGTCACACTTACTAATACATGTAGTGTCCACTGGCACTGTGCATAGCATAGTGATACAGTGATACCGGGTCATTATCTTTCAAGTTCCTCATCGTACATGGCATGTATGGACACACACACACACATTCTAGCTTGGTACCGGTGTACATTGTACATTGCACTGTGCAGTCAGGTATGTACCGGTGGTACCAGAAGGCATAGACAAGGTTTCACTGGCCACCAATGATGTTCATATACTACTGCGGCTGCGGTACATGTAGTGCAATAGTAGGTAGGTAGGTAGGTAGGGAGGTGGGTAGGTATAGGTAGATGGGTAGGTAGGTAGGTAGATATTGCGATTGGTTTGGCCAGTTACTCTGAGCTCCGCTGATGAAAGCTAACAACACAGTGGACTGGAAACAGCTCAGTCGCTGTCTAGAGATTCATAGTGTCTAGTTGTAATTGCTGACGAATTTTCTGCTTATACAGTACTGGAGGTAACGTACGACTGGTGTACATGGTGTACATGGAAGTACTCAAAACCTTCTTTTTTTAGTGTTCCATGGTCTAGAGTAGTGTGTGTGTGTGTGTGTGACATCACACTTGTACATACTAGTAGTGGAAAATACTTGTGAAGCCTGCTGCTATACATGTAGCCTGTTCAGGTGCAGCGATTTCTCACATTCCACTACAATGTTACATGTATAGGACAGTCCAGGATACTCCTACCATGGACCAGTCTGCACATTGCACAGCTGCTTTTCTGACACGTGAACTGGGTGATTGTGTTTGTTGTGCTGATCTCAGGTCTAAAGTTGGCTCTCATTCAGCTGGCAGTTGGCAGTGATAAAGCAGTGAATATTCGCCGTGCGTGTGAATTCATCTCTCAGGCTGCTAAAGCTGGTGCTCAGCTTGTCGCACTACCAGTGAGTACACATGTCTATACAGTAATACCAAGAGTACATAACCCCCCAGACTAGTGTGCAACGCCTGATCCAGCTCTGCATAGGGTCTTGGTCGAGCGGAATCGGATCTTCTTGTCACGCATGCACTCCACACCAGCGCAAGGCCGGTCTCGAGGCAGGGCACCAGTGTTTTTGATCCGAGAGTACCCGCGACTCCCCGGGTTCCCCTCAGATGTGTACGGTATTATGACGCAAAGATCCGATTCCGCTCGACCAAGACCCTATGCAGAGCTGGATCCGGCGTTGCACACTCTGGGGGTTATGTACTCTTGGTAATACACTGGGTCTGTACATGTACTGCTAACTTATACTGGCCAGTGCGTACACATGTCTATACACTGCACTGTTGTCTGTACTGCTACACTGTACGGCTATACTGACCAGTGTCAGTACCCGCACCAGCGGGGAATTCCCCCAAGTGTATTAGTGTATAGAGTATAGAGTATAGAGTATACTCTATACTACTAGTAGTACTGTACTGTCCAGCACCAGCAGTTTCTCTCCCCTATGGATAGATACAGCAGCGCCATGCTTGAGTGCACAGCCTGTACATGTATGTGGTGTTCATAGTGCTAGAGCTGTGCTGTGTCCAGCGCTATGGCTAGAACTCTGAAGTGTCCAGCGCTATTGCGAGAAAAGAGCAATGAAGTGTTCAGCACGCTATTGAGGCTGAACTTCACTGGCCAGCACAGCGCAGTAGTAACTTGTTGCCAGTACAACCATGCATGTTATATTATATTAAATTTTCCTTGAGAACGGGTTTATACATATACTAGTACAAGTCATGTAGTTACTATTGTGTGTTTCACACTGTGTTCAACTCCCTGCGCAGTGAGAACATTTCAAATTCATATCTATCTTGTTGAATGCTGCTACAGTGCTTGGAATTATTGGACTGAGTAAGGTCTAGTGTCCACTACCGTAAAATCCCGCCAGAGCGCCCCTACCTCCTCGACGCTTCGGGTGGGGAGGGGCGGATGGGCGAGTCCTACTTGCCGCATTCAGTACTGTACATGATCAAGTGCTCACCCTACGAAAACTGTTCGTGCATCTCGTACACCGACCAAAGGTCAAGAGCCAGGAGTCGTACAGACCCGTCAAAACTCAGGTTTTGTGCGATCCCTGGTCAAGAGGGTGGGCACTGTTGCGTACATTTCCAATGGGGTCGAGCACGCGTCTGCAGTACAGTACGGCAACACAGACTGTGACAGAGTCATACGAGGATACAATCAATCACGTCCCTGACAAGAAGTCAAAGGGGGGGGGGGGCGGATGGGAGAGACGGGGCGCTCTGGCGGGATTTTACGGTACTTGTAGTTAACTATTGCCCAAGGACCATTACTGCCAATATGCAAAATCAATAATTCATGATTGTATGAACTGATGTTCACACTATATTCTATCTTAGCATAGTCATCGGTTTTGAATAGTGCTGTTCTGTTGCTATGGTTGCTCTGTTCCTGTTTCAGGAGTGTTTCAACTCCCCCTATGGCACACAGTACTTTCAACAATACGCTGAACCTGTACCGGATGGTGACTCCAGTGTTGCCCTGGCGACAGCTGCTAAGCAACATAACATCTATATCCACGGAGGTACATTGTACTACTGTACTGTGCAATGCGAGAATGTTCTGACTGTGCTCTTGGCCAATGCTGACTTGTTCCATATGCTTGACCAGTAACCAGTAATCAGTAGCCATGTGCTATGTACTGAGTCTAGTCGGAGTTAGGGCACCTTTTCAAAATTGTATTTTCGTCTTTCTGCAACTAGGAAACTAGTACCGGTGCATGCGCACACACCAGTACACGTCCAGTGCAAGTAGAATACTACCATGCGCACACACCAGTACACGTCCAGTGCAAGTCCAGTGCAAGTCCAGTGCAAGTCCAGTGCAAGTCCAGTGCAAGTAGAATACTACCATGCGCACACACCAGTACACGTCCAGTACAAGTCCAGTGCAAGTAGAATACTACCATGTGCACACACCAGTGCAAGTCCAGTACAAGTAGAATACTACAGTAAAGTACCGCCAGAGTGCACCACCATCTCGTCCTTTCTTGGTCGTCTTGTGGAGGTGGTTTCCTGTCTGTAGGTCATACGACACTGACCCTGTACGCCCATTGCACGTTGTGTGGTCAATCGTACCCAGTTTACCTTCGAGCGGATGCGAGTTCCACATGAAAACATGCCAAGTGTAACCTTAGTACACAAAGGTTCTCACACCGTACAAACTTAGTAGCACTCTGCCATACGATTTTCTTCCCTTGGGTGTAAAATCAAGGTGGGGCGTTCTCGCAAGACGGGGTGTTCTGGCGGTACTTTACGGTAGTATTTTGATGACAT